AATTTTTTAATTATCCGCCCAAAACAAACTAACCCCCCAAAAAGTGAATGTTGCCAAGCCCTCCCAGCGGCCATTTTTCAAATGACATCCGTCACCTTCCTCGGGCTCTTCTGACTAATTTTCAATCCCATTTTTGTCTGCTTTGCCCCCAGATGGGTGCCCCTGAATCTACAGAGATGATCCTGAGCCATACTGACACAATCCCACCATTTCCTGGCCCAAACAGACCTCTCTTTTCGAAACAATCTCTGGGGGTACTTTTTGTGCGCCTCGGCCTGCCGGAGAATTTTCCTTGAATTGGGACACTGCACCCTTATAGGAGGGAGGGCCTGCTTGTGGTTTTTGCCCATGAAACCATTGCCAGTGATTTGAAGAATGCAATCTTGGAATCCTAATATGCTTTCTCCTGAAGAGATAATTTAAAGTCACGTGAGTCTAGTGATAATTTGTGTATTTTGCATCTGAACATATCCCCTGCTTTTATCTATAAACTGAAGTTTGCAAATCACTGATAATATTTTGTTTTTGTTATCAGAGGAATGCATGATACAAACAAACAGGGAGTTTAAGCAACAAGTACATCCTTCAGAAGAACAATTGTCATTTTGCCTTTATGAAAATGCTGCAGGGATTGAAACATCAGGCCCTTTACTCAATTTGAAAATAAAATGACTGAAGTATGAAATGCACGATCCATTTTTTGATTTACACTGTTGTCATTTTCCCATGTGGCAAGTACATCATTCAGAATGTTATCTGTATCATATAGTTCCACTGGAAAGGCATTTCCTTTCAACATAAAAGACACTCTTCATTTTCATGTTTTTGACCTTTTGCTTTGTGGTTTCTTCTTTCAATATGCTGGTGTTTTTATGGCCTGGAAGTGTCAAGGTTTTGAATTCCTTGGCATTTGTGCAAACTTTGACTTCTGGCACAGCACTTAAGTTACCTCCTAGCTTGTAGCACGGGAGAGGGAAAAAAAGACTAGGATAAAACTTCCAGAAAGTAATTTAATGATACTCGCATCGGGTGTCTTGATCTTTCAGGTCAATCGTGTCATCAGTAGTCTGCTAAGTAGTGAAATGATCAGATGTACTTGCCCTCAAGGGAGGAAAAGCAGCCTTTTCATTGGCTAGAACTTTGTTGATCTGTGCAAGGCCATCCCATAATAATCCTATAAAAGGTGAGCCACAACAAGTGGGGATTCAGCGTATTAGCTGCTGAAAATTTGCCTCGCCTGCACTTTTTGGTTCCGGTGCACAGAGATTGTACATGCTTGGCCATGTATAGCTTTGTGGGCCGAAAAGGCCTATGCCTCTGGCTTTTGCTGTTTGTGGTGCTGCTAGCCCTTTGTCAGGCACAGGACGATGTCTCAAGTTCATCCTCGTGTAAGTTTGGGGCTGTGTTAAAATACATGACCACTTCTGGTTGGGGGATTCACCTACTGACCCTGGCAATGCTTAAATGTGTTCTGCACCCCTATTGTGCTCCTGGGGCTGTCAACTTGAACATTTATTGTTATGTGTACTCTCACCTTTCTGACGCTTGGGGGAAGTCGAAGAAAAAAGAAAAGGTTACCCTGATGCTTAAGTAACGCTCATGACTAAATTGCCTTCTAGTTGTAATTGCAGTGTGAAAAAAAATGGTACTGTAACAGTGTAGCAGGGTTAGGGCAACCATTTTCAAAAATGGGACAAGCTATTTGCCATCATGAAGGATGGAAGACTTCTTCCTCTACAGTGCCATTTGTGGTCTTAGGGAAATGGCACGAGGCTGTTTGTTTCTTATTAGTTTTCAGTATACTATTAACGTATATATTCTGTGTGTATTTAGCACTTGCACAGTAGGAACTTTAGTGCATTCATGCCATTTTTAGATTTCCGTCAAAGATGCCTATTGGGTTTCGTTTCAAGCACTAATTTGATTTCACCAAAGAGGCCCTTGTAATAACTGATTGGCGCCCGTAGTGGAAATCAACAATTTATGTTGTAATGACACCAAATGCTAAAAAAATTTTTTACTGTTTTGCTTTTTGATGTTGATTTTCAAGCTTCGAGCTCTAAGGAGGATGGGTATCCGAAGCGACTTCCATGCAAGGACAACAATCAGAGAATCTCTCTCCATGGTGAAACCTACTTTATGGACAAATGTTCGGAATGCACATGCAACAATTCCACACTTAGTTGCCGGTTTGTGTCCTGTCAGCCCCCGACCTGTGCCAATCCACTAGAATTTGAAGACGTATGCTGTGCAGCCTGCCCTTATAGTAAGTTTATACAATATGTATAAAGGTACAGTCCATTTGTCATTTGTGCATTTTGTTCCTTTGAGGCATCAAAATTACTCAAAATCTAAAGGAGAGTGACTAAGAACAAACCTGATAAAGTTTCAGCTGAGTGAAAACTGTATTCAGTTATAACTATAACTAAAGAAAAACACTATTCCAGCATTTTGATTTTCGAGTTGTGTTTCGAATTGCACCTGAATTCAGGATCTTGGGCGAGATCTCATGTTTAGTTGAGAGGAGCCGCACAATGTCATGTACTGAACCGATGGATTACTGTAATGACGTGTCCAAAATGGCCATTCTTTCATTATTTTCTTCAACATGACAGCTTGCCAGAATGACAAAATTTCACAGGGAATTTAGTCTGGCCCACAACCCATCTTTAAAATAAAGCATGGATTTCAACAATTATTTCAACAGCTACATTTTGGATAAGAGCAGATGATGGACTGTACCTTTAAAGATGGTAAGGGGGGGGGTAACATTAATCCTAACAGTCCTCAATCCTCTTGTATCGGTAAGATTTTATGTACACCCTAGGGGGTAAATTTGGGTTAAATAGTGTATGTGGTTTTCTGCCCAGGTCAATCACATCTTGTGGCTGAAACACACTTTTCGTACACTGGAATCTAATGTTTGGCAAACCAAAGAGACCTCCCCAAATCTTTCACCGTAACCTCCTGAAAACTAACAATTCACAGAACACAGCAGTGTTCTTGAATTACAAATAAAATCTGTTTACTTGTGCTGTTTATGCACTTTGGAGAGTGTCCACCTGAGATGATCCTAGAAATGTAACCAAGAGTCACTGCTGGGATTCTTTGTCATAGATGTAGCTACTAGAAAATGTACAATATGACAAAGTGATTCTTTCATGCAGTATAAAAGAACTTACATGTACATTTGCTGTAGAAATGGAAAAAGGTAGAAAAGAGGGTGAAATTCCCCAACTTTCTTGAAAAGACAGTGGAATTGACCTACTTTTACTGTCGAGAGTTTATCAGTTTGCCCCTGACCGAGTTCTGCCCTCTTAGAAAAATGTTGTCTCCTCCTCCCCCCCCCTTAAAAGAACCCTATCCTGGTGATGCCAATTATCATAGTACGCATTACTTGTGTACAAGTTTTGAGCCGGCTTTGGCAGTCATGAAACACCATGCAGTAAATTGATACGATGTCAGCAGGTGTCTTGGTGAATATCCTGGTACCTGCCAAGCTCCTGACCTTTCCCTCTGTCTGTGTTGGAACTTTTTGTTGTAATTTTTTAAAGAGAATTCAAGCTTGTGAATAGTACAGATAGATGCAGAATAGATGCATGTAAGTAGGTTTTTAGCAAGTGTCTGCTGTTGCACTTAATCTATGGACTTGTGTTAAGCCCTTGAATTTTCTAACGTTTTGCTCTGTTTAATTGAAATGCATTTCAAGATGCCTGGTCTTGTTTGGGTGTAGGTTTCAGATTTGATATAGCACGACACACCAGCATTACCCGGAGGCTAGATGCAAGTGTGGCACAAAAAGAAAGTGTAATGATAATTTGCATTTTAAAATATCATTTAAAAAAAATTAAAATAAACCATGGCATGTACGTACACACAGAGTGAGCAAATGGGCAAGTTGGTTTAAATGTCGCTTGCGAAGATTACTGGTTAAGTCTTACAGTGACCAGCCTATTGTTATACTGTCCGTATGTAATCTGTGATGCAGAAGTTGACTTATTTAAATACCCATGTACCTGTCCATGCATGCCGGTGTATGCATGCACAAATAGGTTCTAGCACTTAAACACTGGAGAAATGTCAGGCCAAGCAGGCTGGAGGGAGAATTGTCTCAGCATGCACAATATAAGTGCTCCAAGTGCAACTGCAGAAGCTTGGAAGACATATTGCTGACGTCTCTGTGTTCTTCCATGATGATGCACCTGTGATGCAAGGTCATGGCCTGCAGACTAAACAGCTCCCCTCCTGCTCAAGAAATGGAGCACATCATCACGGACATTTGGCATTGTAAAAACTAAATGCGGCGTTTGCTTGCAAAACGGTCCACAAAAAACTGAACTGACTGTCAGGGGTTTAGATAACTTTCTTCAAGCCATGAGTACAACACCCACTTCCTTGCTTAGAGTAGATGACAGTACTCTTTTGCCCTCAGCATTGTTTTGTATTGTACTCTTCTTCAGGAGAGGGAGAGTACTGTACTCCCCAAAGAGGCGGAGGAACTGAGTACCAATATTATGCGAGTTAGTCCTTTTGAAGGGGGAGCGGGTTAGTGTGTTAGCGTAGCGGTTCTTTCCTCGCTTTGCACCAATGAGGCCCAGGTTCAAGTCCCGGCTTGGCCCAGGCTTTAAGTGCATTTGGTTTCCAGTCCATACTCGCTCTAGCAGGTTTTCTCCAGGTACTCCGGTTTCCTCCTGCCTCTAAAACTGGACCTTCTTCCTAACTTCGTAATGTGATGCTGATGAATAAAGTGAATGAATAAACGTACAGTTATTGCCGCAAATAGCCTGAGTTGCTGAAAGCGCCATTAAAACAAAACAACAACAACAACTAGGCCTTTTGCCATAGTAAATATAAGAATACTTGTTATTTCTCTTGAAAAACGTAGTAAAAAACAGCGCTGAACCATGAACTCATGGCACCACAGACAAAATCACATTAGTCCGTATCCACTCATGTGCAGCGACACATGTGAGGCTACTATGTGCAGATGTCACGTTGACCGGCCGCCGTGCACACACACCTGGCGGTGCCGTGGCCATTCGGAAACTTACGGTGCATTTCATTGCTTGGCAGTGAAATGCTCTTATACTCACAGTCTAAAACTCAATCTTTCTAAGGTGTTTCTGACCCAAATTTTCCAAAAATAAAAGCTAGTTTCTTATTGGTGTACCGGAAAGCCTCTAAAATACCACTTGAAAAAATGCCCGTTTTTAGCGGATCGAAACTTCGCATTTTTTGGCCCTTGCTTCATCCCACATAACTTGACCCCCGTGCTCTGACCACTATAGTTTGAAGAGCAGACCAGCAGAGACACTATCACTGTTCATTTGTTCCTCCTCACTGGAGTGTGCTTTTCTGCTTAAGTCAGGTTTCTGTCTGCTTCTAAAGAGTAAGAGATCGAAAGCCAAATTCTCGTCACTAGATCTATTTTGGCACACTGTGTTCGTTTTTAGTCCTTTTAAAATTTTTAGTGTTTTGGTGTTAAGTCTTTTCAGTCTTTTAGTCCTTTTGGTTTTTCTGTCCTGTTTTTTCCAGTACTTTTTCATTAATAAATTCGTTTTGTCCTTTTTTTAAAGTCAAATCTTGGTGACTGAGTCCCTATTAATTCAGTTTCCTGTGACCTTTCCCTCAAAGATCCTCGGTTTAGTTTGAGATTTTTGATTTGGTTATTTTTGCGAGTTCCCTGTTAGCGTGCCATTTTTCCAAGTTACACAGATGAACATGAACAAATTGATTTCAGTAGCGTCCGCTACAAATGTTACTCTGTTGGGCTGGGCGTAATTGACAAAACACGAAAAATATGGAAACTTAAGGTACTCTTTCTGTAGTAGAAATCACTGCGTATTTTACGTTCTGCATCAGGTTTTACGCTGCATATTTTGACTACATTTCCAAGTCGGGAAGCGTACATGTAGGCCTATATGCCAGTACGCCAATATGCATGTTGTCTAAAGCCCTGGACTGTGTATGTCAATGACATGCATGTAAATGCCCCAAGTCTTTTTTCATATGCTGGTATGCATTTGTACAAGTAATAAGATATATGTCACAGGATGTTCACATTCCTTATACTCTACTGTTGTAGACTATGTCATGCAGCCTGTTTTGCATAAAAATGCAACATGCAGCCTGTTTTGCATAAAAATGCAACATGCAGCCTGTTTTGCATAAAATTGCAACATAAAGGTATGATGCGTGCAGTATCCACATTGTGACATTAGTAAGTCTGAGGACTATTTAGACATTATATAGTCAAAATTACAACCTGAAAGTTAATGATCAAAAGTCAGATCATAAAAGTCAATTGCCACTTCTCACTTCTCTGGGAACAGGAGCTGCCAAATAATCCAAAGTGATGTCTTTGTCACAATTCACCTGTTCCAATAGTGTACATATACCGCGGTATGACCTCTTTTGAGACCTGGGCGTAATGTCGCGGCGTTGCTCAACACATGATTTTCCATAAGCAGAGGCTCCATGTAAATACTGCTTACGATCTCCATGAAGTCAAGAAGACTGTAAGCAGTGTGAGCACAGCTAAAATACGCTAACCTTTGAGGAAGAACAGTAGAAACAGTAGAAATCTCCATGCACGCAAAACTGTTAGCACAAAGCCTATAGCCCCGCCACGAAACAGCGCTTAAGGTCAGCAAATTTTTGTGCTGAAGTTGGCACAACTTTTCTGCTAACTTTTAAGGAGCTAAGTGAAATTTGGCTCTGGACAGTTGTGACTGTGACCTGTGGTGACTCTGGTTGCATGTGTTTTGTCTAATATGCAGCCAACTTGTCAGGATATCCTGCTTGTTGCTAAATAAGCCCACGAGATTGTTTGTCCTAGCAGCGAGCAGCTAATATTTTTTTTGTGCATGAACAATGGGAATGCAGTCCTTTGTCAAAGTAGTACCTGTATGATGCATATGTTTGGACTGTGGGACCAGCCTTGCAAATTTATAACCGGTTGAACAGCAGCTAGATGTATTAACCTTGGTCACAACTTTGGGAAAGCTCAGATTAAGGGCAGTTTCCATTGCAATTATATGCAAATAAATATGCTTATTGCATTTAGTCAAGTCAGTGGAGTTTATTCTGTAATGTGCTCTTACAATTAAAGCCCATCGGATGTGGCAGAATTTGCATTAAACCATTTCCCTTTATCACTTAATCCAGATATAACGGTGACAGATGTGGAACCGCAGGTGGCATCTGGCACCTCTATTGAGGAGGGAATCGAGAATGAGATTGGCCTTGACCTGAACGTGATGTATCTCAACACAAGAGAAACCACCAGCATAGCTGGCGAAGGCTTGTGGACGACCAAGCTTTGGATGAGTACCTACGCAGATGGGTCCAATGAACTCTCCGGCACGGTAGTGGAGGAGGCACTGACGGAAGGGCAACAGTCTCAGGACTTGAAGAAGTCCCCAGATGAGCTCTTCACCATCCGTGGCATACGCTACAGGTTTGACCTGACCGATCACACCTGCAAAGAGGCCAAATATATCTGTGCCAAGTTCAACAAAGGCCCAAGCCCAGCAGTGGAAAAAGACTATTTAGAGTACTATTTCTTAGCTGTTCCCACGGAGGAAGTTTTGACCGGCTGCACTGAAATGACCGACTGCAGAGGTAGGTTGCTCTTTGGTTTTCAGATGGTTATATTCAAGATCTTAATTTTTAAATGTCTAATTGTTATTCTGTGGAATGGTTATTTTGTGCACAATGCCTCACTTCACCGAGTCGGCCAGTGTGATGTAATGTGCTGAGAATAAATCAGTTCTGCAGAAAGAGGCATTGGCTTGGGTCAAAATTTGCAATTTCTTTTCTTACCTGCCCTGCAATAGGTCCAGCAAATGTGATTGTACAGAATGTCGAGCCAGTTATGGAAAGCGGCTCTGTAATTCGAGAGAATGCAGTAGAAAGCATCTTTTTGGATCTGAACGTGAATTATGCGGACACGGAAGAAACCACAGACGTCTCCGGCCAGGGCTTGTGGACAGCTAGGATGTGGATGAGCAGTGACGAGAATGGGGCCAGTGTTGTCGAGGGCACCAATGTGGAAAATGTCTTGACCGAGGGGCAGCAGTCTCAAAACCTGGACAAAGATCCCAGTGAGCTCCTCACCTTCAACAGAATCCGGTATGCCGTGGACCTCACCGGCCGCACCTGCAGTGAGGCCAGGTACCTCTGTGCCAGATTTGACAAGGGTCCTGCACCTCAGTTGTCTCAGCAATACACCGAACTGAGGTTAAGGGGTGATCCTGGGGAACCTGCCCTGACTGGCTGTACCGAGATTGAGCAGTGTGAAGGTACGGTTGACTCTATCATACGCTGTCAACTTCTTGAAATTGTTTCCTTTTTTACCTGTCCTAGAATTTTCCATTGTGTTCACCTTGTCAAACTTCCATGTGTCAGTATAAAAGTGGAATTAAACTTAAAACTACCTGGTGCATGGTGGTTGAGCGTGCGTGGAGCCCTGCACCAGTCAGGTGTTGTAATGATCAGGTTTCACTTTGCAATATTGTCTGAGAGTGTAAAAACAAAATGTACCTTAGTTGAATGTCACCCAAATCTTAAACAAATGACCACCAAGACTTAGCTCTTGTTGAAAATTCCAACTTCATGAGGGACCGGGTTTTTGATACCTTGTTGGTTAAAAAAACTTGGTATTTTTTTGCCCAAAATAATATTGCACCTTGGACAAGTTTGTTGTGAAATAATACCATTCGTTACTGGTTGAAGTATAAAAACTTCTCCTAACAACCGCAACTGCTTAGTGCTCTAAATTCACATACATTGAGATACGTCACCGTCTGTTTCAGCTTGTGATCGGGGGCCAATTCATAGAGCTGCTGAAGCATGAAATTTGCTTAAGCACTAAAAAACCTTACTTGATGAATCAGGTAACCAGCCAAAACTCCATGTTACGTATATTGTTTTGGGATCGTATTTAGCTGTTTTTTGGTTAGCATGACTAACAGATAGAGTTTGAGCTGGCAACCTTTGTTTATTAAGCAAAGTTTTTTCCTGCTTAAGCAAATTTTGTGTTTAAGCAGCTCTATGAAATTGGCCCCAGGCAAATGGGCACCTACATACATGTACATGTATAAGTTGTGGTCTGCATTCAAAGGTGTAAAGGTAACCGACCTGGAATGGACTCCAAACATTGGCAACATGCAGTACGGAGTCCCTACCCCCATGACCATTGATGCCTCTGTGTCCACTGCTGCTGACAGCCGGGAACTGTCTGGGTCCGGTCTGTGGAGAATGGACCTGTTTGGCAGCAGCAACATGGACGGCACCGGCCCAAGAAAGCTAGTCAAGACACAGATCCTGGATCAGGGGGGCCAGGCCACACCTCTTAGCAGCCCCGGCAATCCCATTCAGTTCTCAGACGTGAGCACGAGCTTCCCAATCGAGGAGGTCGGCTGTCCCAACTTGCCGTATCTCTGTCTGGAGTTCAAGAGGGGGGACAGTCCCAATCCGGATTACAAATTTGGCACGGCAGATGGTGGGGATTCTCTCATTAAGTGCAGAGAGGAAAAATGCAGAGGTGAGTTTGCATGAAGAAAAAACCTAAAAATAATTACTCTTGCATCATACAATAAACTGTGCAATCAACTTCTGGAGAATATCAAGGTCCGCGTTGAATAAAAGGTTTTAATCACATTTGAAGGGTCTGTGCAGATCCTTTTTTTAAAATGCAGCCCTGGAAGTGTCTAAATTAACCATGTTAATTCTTTTGATGTTTTAAAGGGTCTACGGATGCCTCTTTGGTTTATTACACTAAATATTTCCATATACATAAACAAAATTGTGATGTCTTCCCAGAGAGAGAACCTCGGTATAGCATTAAATTTATATACAAAAACAATGCTGGAATTTTTCAAATTTCGCTGTCACAATTTTAACACAGATATTAAAGACATTTAAAACTGCACTTCCGTCACGCTTAACCAAAAGGGATGGGAATACAGGGAGTATAAAGTGATACAGAAAGCAATTCTCAAGAAAAATATTCAGACTTTACCCTTGATCCTGGTATTGCTGCTTGGATAAATTTGTCCTGTCCCCTGAGTTGGCCAGCCTATGCTCTGAATCCCATGACAGAATCCTCATTTAGTCATTTGTATCATTATTCGCAAATGTTTCTCTGATCATTGGCATCCTCATTGTGGACATGGGCTGGGGTTGTAGTTTTTTAAAGTGATTATTAAAACTGATATGTCGATTACGTGTAGTTTTCTGATACTGTTTTCTTTTTCCCCAGGTGTTTACGTGTCTGGTGTTGATTCGACTCTTCGCAGTGGTGGTCTTGTTGAGGGCGAGCAAAACAATGACATCACCTTTGACACCGTCGTCCAGACAACAGACGAGAGCCGGCCGGTGGTTGGCAGTGACCTCTGGAGGCTGAACCTGTACGGCAACGAGCAGAGCGACGGCCTCGGTCCTCGCTACAATGAGCAGGAGCAGGTGCTCAGCAGATCCCTCAGTGGGCGCCCGCTGAGGGTCCCTGGAAATCCCCTATCCTTCCAGCCCATACAGGCCAAGTACGACATGACCGATGTGGACTGCCAGAAGGTCAAGTTCCTGTGTACAGAGTTTAGCCGCAGTCCCTCAGCCTCTGTCTCCTTCGAGGTGACCCCTGTCCCGAATGACCCCAGCGTGTTGCGGGACTGCATGGAGGTACCGGAGGATTTCTGCCAGGGTGAGGAGATGACTCCCCTTCTTCCCCCTCCCCCTTTGGGTTTTACCGAGCTTTGGAGCACAGGGGTGTCCAAATCTGCCTTCAATTTAAAAAAACTGGCACCTCAGTTGTTGAAGGTTTGTGCACTTCTCGTGCATATATTTTGATAACCTAAAAGCTTGCCGGAAACGAGACGGAGATACCCCTAGCCCTAACACCAATACTGCCTACCAGATGTCAGTATTTCATGTGGAGAAACCCATCTAGCTGAAACCCAGATTCCCTCACAGATTCAGTCAAGATGGTTTCACATGCCATGAATGATGATGGGATAGGGGTTTGAAGTGCTTCTCCCATTCCAGCGTGGCACTCAAACAGTTGCCCGTGAAGTAACAATTGCACCACCTGTGGCCATCAGCATTACAGTACAAACTATGCATTAACCTCTCTTTTTTTCTTGACAGATTTTTGGTTCAGTTAGTTCCTTTCATCTACAACAAGTGTGACACCTCATAGTTATCTTGTAGGTGGGGAAATTGTCCTTTAAGCCATGAACTGACCTGCTGGGGTAAATTCATATGTGAAGTAACTTGTCTCTTGCATAAAATCTATGCAACAATAATTTCATGCCAATGAGTGAGATATTATCTCACTTGTTGACATGAAATTATCAAGATGTGTCACTTGGTGGTGTGACTAATGGAACTAACCCCATCAATGTTCACCGTTAATTTTCTGTTCCACATTTTTGTTTGCTGTGCTCAGGTGTTCTGGCTGAGAGGTTTGACTGGGATTACGACCCTGGCAGTCCTATACCTGGCCGACAAACACCGGTCAGTTTCAATGGGGAATTGATCACCAGTCCAAGGAGCCGAGACCTGTCTGGCTCAGGACTATGGAAGATGGGCATGTACGGGAGCAGGAGCCCCGATGGCGATCCCTCGGACCGCTTTGGCTACGTCAGCCAGGCCCTCAACCCGGCCGGGGCAGGCACCACACTCATGGGTGGCACCCCAATGGCCATCCGAGACCAGCAGGTGGACTTCGACATTGGCTCCATCGGCTGCAATGAGTATGGCTACGTCTGTGCCGAGTTCACCAAGGGGGACAGTCCCAACCCCGACTACAAGTTTAAGGTTGTTGGCCGCTCTGATGTGCCATCTACAAATGTTCTAACATCTTGCAAGAAACAGGAGTGTTCAGCACGTAAGATGCAAACTTCCTTATGTGGGGACGTTAGTCTGCTCATTGCAACAAATATTCCCATTGTATTGTTAAAATGTAGGAAAAGTTGGGAGTGAGTTAGCGAATGGGTCCATGTTTTACATATTGACAGTAAAATTTCAGTGGGAATACATTGCCAGAGGTACATTATAAATGTTGACAGTAATTATGCTCCAACAATTACACAATGTAATGTTTCACTTTCTATTGAGCTATTGCAGGTCTTTCTTAGTTGAATGACTTCTAAACTTTTCTACTGTGTCCTAGGTGCTGTGTTCACTGGACTGGAGTCCTCCATCGCGGATGATAGCTATGTGGTTGAGGGCAGGACAGACAACAACCTCGCCATGGATATCACCGGAATCACGGGCGAGGGATCAACCGAAGTGGGCGGCACCAATCTCTGGAAGGTGGGCCTCTACGGCAGCGCTAACCCTGATGGTCGTGGCCGCAAGCTTGCTTACCAGGAGCAGGTCCTGAGCCAGCCCCAGAGGGATCAGACCCTAGAGATGGACGCGGACCTTCCCTTCCCCAACACCCAGGTTAACTTCAACATGGATGGCCTGCAGTGCGAGGACGTCAAGTACCTGTGCACTGAACTGCGGAAAGACCCGGATGCCAGACCCAATTACAACTTTGAAGCCGTGCCCAACGAGAGGGCCCTGGTCTCCTGTACCGAGCTTGGAGACAAATGCAAAGGTGGGTTGACTACAACCTGCATATTTGTTTTTTTGCAGTGGCCATGAGCTTCTGTTTTTTGTTCTGTGTGGCTGTTTACCTCCCACTTCAACTAAACCTAGGACATGTCTGTTTGCTTACGTTGTCTCCATGGCCAACGGTATGATTTCTTATTGACGATAAACTTCCATCTCTTGTTTTGTTTAAAGATATTGACACAAATTTATAATGAAAGTTTTTGTGCATATTCTCACCAAGCACCTATGGTTCTGTTGCATTTTAAGGAAGCTGCTATTAAGTTGTTTCTTTAGTTTGAAGCTTTGCATTCAATTCAGATTTAGACAAGTAATTTCCACTACATGGAACCTTTTAATCTTAAGGTGTGACTGTCACCGACATGGATTGGTCCTATGAGCCTGGTCAGATGCAGATGGGAATGCCAACCCCTCTTGCCATTGATGCCAATGTCCAGACAACACCAGAGAGCCGTGAGCTGGAGGGCACGGGGCTGTGGAAGATGAACCTATTTGCTAGTCGAAATCCGGACGGCTCGGGCCAGAGGCAGTCGGAGCGTTCGCAGATTCTCGATGGCTTTGGGCAGGCAACCCCTTCACCGGCAGGTGGGCCGATTCAGTTCAATGACGTCAACACGATGTTCCCCATGGAAGATCTGGGCTGTGGGGAGTACGGGTACCTTTGCCTGGAGTTCGAGAAAGGAATTTACGCCAACCCCAGTTACAAGTTTGAAACAGCCGGCCCCGGGGATACCCTCATCAACTGCAAGTCTGCTGATTGTGGAGGTGAGATTCCGTTTTATAATGGACTCCATCAAGGTATTTGTGACCTTGAGTAGGTGTGGTATTCAGAGGCAAAGTTTGCCCAGCAAATTGTCTCAAAAAGAATTATGTGGTGAACATTTACAGCCCTGTATTAAAGATTGTAAGTGAAGCAGTGGGAATGTGTGATGTGTGCCTTTTCTCAGGGGCATGTTTAATATTAGAAACTGACTTCCATTTCAAATGACTACATGATGAGAGATGGGTTTGTGCTTGTTTGCTAGGTGTGTACGTATCTGGTGTGGACTCCACTCTCCGCAATGCAGAATTGTACGAGGGAAAGCCAAACAACCTCGTCCAGTTCGATACCGTTGTGCAGACCACTGATCAAAGTGTACCAATGTTCGGACGCAACATGTGGCGCCTGAATCTGTATGGCAGCGAACGGCCCAATGGACAGGGTGAGCGCCTCAACCCACAAGAGCAAGTCCTGTCGGATTACTTCAGCAGCCGCGAGCTGGCCACACCAGGAGATGCCCTGAACTTCCAGCCCATCAACGCCGAGTATGACATGACGAACGTCGACTGCAAGAGACTGAAGTACCTGTGCACCGAGTTTAGTCGCAACCCCAGCTCCTCACGGAACTTTGAGCTCACCCCCGTCCCCAACGAGAGAGTACTCAGAGACTGTATGGAGGTGCCTGATGAAATGTGCAATGGTGAGTTAATGGCGACAACGGACAGAGCGCTCACTGTCCTAAACTTAAGAGTACTGAATCTTTTCAGAACCACACATACCCACAAAAGAGATAATTCACATGGTATCTCTGCAAAGCTTCTACCGTATTAATGGCAAAAGTTGCAGATACTAGAGTAACTTAAAATACAGTTTTTAATTTAAAGACAGTCATACAGTGAGAGGATATAAAATAATTTCCATGAAAATTTTTCTTTAGTTTGTATTTTGCCAAACCCAGCTTTTGCATCTCCGTTTGGTTTATCGAGCATTCTCTTCATCTGCAGCTTTTGGCTTTTAAATTACTGTTCTTATTTTACTCAGCCTCTGAGAAAATTGTTGCTATTAAAGATTTAAACGTTATACCTTATCAGCTGCTCAGATTCTGTAGATGTGTTGAGAAATCTGATTGGAAATAACGTCCGATTATTGAAATGGACATGCAGATTTCTCCATTGTTTTCATTTTTGTGCGCCTTTTTTCCCAACCTAAGGTGTGATCATTGAGGATATGGACTGGACCATGGAGGAACCCACCAGCAAAGTCACCCCTGGCACCCCCACACCGATAAGGCTGAACGTGGGCGTGGAGTCTAGACCTTCAGCTGGCAGTGCCAGTGGGGACGGCCTGTGGCGAGTGGGCATCTTCGGCTCCACCCGGCCCGACGGCAAGGGCAAGCAGATTGGACTCACGCAGCAGATCCTGACCCGTGACCAGTCAAGCCGTGACCTGACGGCTGGCCAGCCCCTCGACTTTGTTGGGGTGGATACTGAGTTTGACCTGTCGGCCATCGGCTGCGAGTCCGAGTTCCAGTACCTGTGCGTGGAGTTTGCCAAGGGTCGGCGGGCCCAACCAGACTTTAAGTTCCAGACTGCCGGCGGGGATGATGTCATCGTCAAATGCAAGGATGAAGAGTGTCGTAAAGGTTTGTTTGGGCAAAGTCAAACACATTTGGTCATGTCTATTATTTCATGTGGGCATATACTGAGAATGTCCCAACATCCCACAAAACCCACCTGGAGCAAATTAAAAAAAAACACTTTATATAGTGTAATGACAGAGCTTGCAGACCACCGGGGTGGCACCGGAGCCTCCAGGGTGGAGAACAAACTCCTGGTTAGGTATGGATTATACAGACACTCTTAGGATTTCAAATAGGGCAATCAAATAAAACCCTATAAATATGCACTTGGCTGGTTTTAAATGGTAGTTTAACTGTACATGATACACTTGTCACCTTCAAAAGGAGTACTTGAATTGTCGAGTCTGAGTTTCAATCATGGCATATTCGGCTGTGGCTATTGAGTAAGTGGTGCTGTGAGTCTCCATAGCTGTCAATAGAGATGTCTGATTCAAAATGATTGATGGAGTGGATGACAGTGCAAGTTCCATTCAACTTCATTGTATGCAGGAGTTAAAGTGCGTGGCCTCGAAATCTCTGACAGCTATCTGACGACCTTGAAAGAGAACACCCCATCCAATCGTGTCATCTACGATGTCACTGCCTTGACCACTCCGGACAGTGGAGGGGCCATGGGAGACAACCTGTGGGAGATGTCGCTGTACGGCAGCAGCAACGTGAACGGCGTGGGCCCGCGCCTCAACGAGGAGCGGCAGGTCTTCAGCCCCTACCAGCAGGACAAGGAGGTGACGCCAGGGGAGGACATCCCATTCCAGATGGTGGATGCCAACTTCAACATGAGGGGGCTGACGTGCAAGGAGGTCCCTTACCTGTGCTCGGAGCTGAGGAAGAACCCAAGGGCGTATCCAGATTTCCAGTTCACACCCGTCCCCGACAGAAGTGTTTTGAGGAAATGCTTCCGCACCAAATGTGATGGTACGATCTATTGGAATGCCAATGACTCATCAGCAGTCTTTTGTGGTGACGTCCACCACAAGTCAATCCCAAGTCACTTTACAAGTCCAGTCGCAAGCATCAAAGGGGATAAACGATGACAGGGCAATCCTGTGATATCAATTTATTTGCATAGCTTACGCCTTGAATCAACTTCAGATGATGGGGGGGTGGTGAAGGCTTGTTGTGGATTCAACTTGCATCTACCAAATAATTCATTTTCTTTCACACTCGAAGTGTGAATGTCTGCATTTTCAGAAAGATTTTTCGGACCAAATGCCTGAGTGCAAGGCTTCTTTTGAGATAACAACCTTCACTCAGGGCAACCACTGAAAAGACGTACATCTTTTGCCCCCTAAGAAGGAACAGAAAATGGTAAACATAGAGAGGTATGGTACAGTAGATTTCTATTATAGCACTCCTTAGTATAACATTCTTGCTGATATAAAGCTCTTTTTCCATTTCCCCAACTGCACACTCGTTCACCGTGGACATTTTTCTGTGGTTATAGCGCTACTGTTTATAACGCTTTTCAGGATATAGCACTTGCTATTTTAGGCCCCATGAACCATATTAAGCGTGTAAAACAATTCCAATTGCAACGCTTCTTACCATGGAAAGTCAGATGCTTTGAAAATCTGCCAAACTGCATCGCGAGGCCGCCGCAATTAGCCGGCCTGTATCTGTACTGCACGTAACACACGCACATGTAATTTGGTTTTAGAGAGTATGGTAATTTTCGATCTTCTACATGTATCCCACATTTGCAACGAAACAAATTAACAATAATAAAGAGCAAGTTCCCATTAATCGCATGCAAACTATACTACACTTATGTACATGTACATAAACGCACATGTGCGTTGCACATGTTGCGTGTCCAGTCAGTTATAGCACTGTGCGATTATAGCACTCACTTCAGTTCAGTTCCTTTAGGAGTGCGATAACAGGAATCTACTGTAGTCTCGTTAACCACACTGATGTACTTTTAATACTCGCATTTCAAGTGAAAGCAATTTTACCGGATTTCTCGCATCATAATGTTTACTTCATTCCCCTGAAAATGGTAATTCACTCTGTTTAATATGTTCAGGCGTCACGATTGACACTACCACCTTGGCTGGAAGTGACTTCACCATTGACGACCAAACAAACGAGATCAAGTTTGACGTGTCGGTGACCTCTAACCCCAACAGCGGCGATGCCACGGGCCGAAACCTGTGGCAGCTGGAGTCATACGTCTCCAACGACCCCGAGGGAAGTGGACGACGCCGGATCCTGGAGAGGCAGACCCTTACCCCCGAGATGGCCAGCCGTGACCTGAGGTCTGGCTCCCGGCTGACCTTCAACAACCTGGCGGCCCGCATCAACAAGGACGACGTTCCTTGTGAAGAGGGAGGCGGGTATTTGTGTGTGGAGATCCAGAAGGCTCGATACTCCTCGTTGGACTTCACTCTTGATGGAGCTCGAGAGGACTCCCTTAGGAGGTGTAAAAAGCTGAAGTGTGCAAAAGGTAGACGTGAGCTCCAGGAAGGAGTGGTGTTTGGTGTCTTGTGGATTTGCCTGCTTTTTCTTTTAGATTTTTAGTTAAGATATTTTATCATTAGGAGCCTCCCATTGATTTAATCTTACAATTTAACCGCGGGTGTGCATGCAATCACTGGACCTACTTATTATACTAGATCTTTTTGGTTAAAAGCGTGGGTCTCCTCCCTGAGAATGAGCAGGTTTTCATTTTGTTAAGTTCAAAATACTTCATCATATATAAGTGAAAGAACATTTGTTGTGATTGTTGTGTAATCTTGGAAATCAGTGCACCTCTGGCGGACAGTCCTTGTTGTGAATGAATCTATTCTAGGTTTACTGAAGACTTTTTGGCTGTAACTTGATGTTCCATTTACTGTGCCATTTTATTTTGAATTTTCATAACTGCCTTGTTTTTGTTCTTTTGCTTCTCTTTTGCCTTGCCCATCTGTACTTCTCTGTAATCATAATCAGCTGAAATAGTCAAGGTAAGTATTCCCCCAGCTGTGACTGGAATGACCAAATACATAGAACCGAATTGTGTGATACCCTATCCCCCATATTTTCTGTCCACTTCCAAGGCCAAAAGTTTTTAATGAACGTTTTTCTCATGGCTATGTCAAATCTGCCCCAGTGCTCCCAGATGAGCGAAAAGTCAACCAAAAGTTTGCCATTACTTTGAGGTTTTCTGACTGCAATAATAGGATACTTCCAAGCTTAAGGGTCCATCGTACAGATCTTGAAATCAAGGTGAAGGTGGTATTCTTTGTAAAGGCCTCATCCACAGTGTGAAAGATTCTTTTTGAAGTTCAGCTGTGACTTAAGGTTGGCATGGGATATGTTGATATCTCCCTCTCATATTAGTTGACTGACTTTTTGCCAAAAAAAATTTGTGTTTTCAAATATGTCCTCACCAGCACAAGGCACAAACAAAAATTCTGTCAATAACTGCCAAGAAGTGCAAATTTTTGCACTGGCCAAAAAGAAAGCAACATAATAGATCGTAGTCAGTTACAGTTGATTCTAAGGTATGGTTTTTGTTGATCTGTTGTGCATCACAGGGACCAAAAGGAGCAAAAGGGTACCCAGGAGAATCGGCTCAACCACCTGTGAGTTTATTAAAAAAAATGAGAGAAAGCTTTGTTTTCAGGACAGTGCAAAGAATTTACCTACAAAAATAGATCAATTCATTTTTCACTTTTTGAGAGAACCAGCTCTAAACAGACACAATCATTCATTGCTTTGGGCACTTTCTATTGCATCATATCTTCAGACTTCTGATGGGTTTTCCTGTTTTTTTTGGGGGGGGGTGTTAAATTGATGTTAATCAGTTTTTGCATTTCAACTCTTCGTATGGTCAATTGCATTTGAAGTGTTTCATTTATTTATTAAACCTCAAACACGAGCAATTAGAGGTAAGACTTTAAAACAGACAGACTCAGCGAGTGGATGTTGCCCATGGATGGTTTTCCAGTGTTACTGATGATGGCAAGCTAAACATAGGAAGAAGTGTCATATTCAAGTATAGGCCTATATCAAATGGAAGATCAGATTCAACTGGAGTCACTTTTCCATGTCTTTTCATATTGCTTATCCTACATTTAAATATAGGTCAAATTTGTCCATTGACAGAATTAAACCAGTCTTTTTTTTCACATTGCTGTGCTTGTCTTTGTTGATGTATATTTTCAATTTTATTTTCAATTCCTCCCTGCCCCCATCCATAGATTGCTGGCCCGTACCCTCCTGGGCTTCCAGGAAGAGCAGGCCCTCCAGTAAGTTGAGAATTGCTCTTATTTCAAACCCAAGGCCTAGGCTAACATGACACAGTTGCTGACTGGACCCACTGTCATGGCCCTGCTTAACAGGTAGCAGAAATGCTATAGTTACTGATAGCAATATCTTGTGGCAGTGCTTAGCTTGGATGAGCTTACAGCTCCGCATGTACAGAGAATCTAATTTTTCTGTTACTGCATTAAGCAAATTTTTTCTCCAAGGTAAGCATGCCTTTGCTACGCTAACTGTTTATGAAATAAATGGAGCCTCCATTGGGATGAAATCACTTGTTTAGCAGTGCCATGAAATTGGGCCCTGGTGCTAATTTTATGCAGCTGATTGACTCATACACCAATCAAACACAGATGTATTTTAAAGGAAGAGAATGCTGATGTGGGTTAACTTTCACTTTCATCTCTTCCATGATCAGCAGTGAATGGACAATAAGTGTAGTTCAGTATTGTTTTGTCTTCAGTGTTCACTCCCAACCCTCCCTCCAAAGAAAACCACTCACAGCCAAAATATTTCTGCAACAAAGTTTACAGTGAACTTTACTCTACGCACTCAGTCACAGAGGCATCTTTGATTTGCCTTATGGTTTATTTTAGGGAACTCGACCATTTGAGTCTTTTCCTATGAGAATAGACTAAAGGTACTTGTATTGAGAGTGCAGACTACTAGGCTCTGTCCTTTTCGGAAATGGAAAATTCCTCTTTGTCAGAAGAATAAGTTAGGCAGTCTAGTGCTTCAAGTGCACCATCTAGCATTGGAAATATGTAGATACATGTCTGAAAAAATCTCATTGACCTATGAGAAAGATACGAGGTGAGATAAAAATTTTTTTTTACTTCAATGTTTGCACTTTCATTAGTACATAAGTCTCTCCTCTGAGTTTGTATTTATCTGGAAAATGCAGCCTTTCAAAAGTATGGTCCATTCATTGCTGTGAGATTTCTTTTCAGGCAGAGGTGTTAAGTTAATTTTTGCAAGTCTAAGCCAAGTCACAAGACAGTCATTTGGTCCAATCACAAATCAAGTCACAAGTCATTTGATTACAGGTCAAGTCACAAGTTTATTTGGTCCAAGCACAAGCAAGTTACAAGTCTTTTTGTACAAGTCAAGTTGCGCTATGTGTGATTTCAAGTCACAGCCTAGTCTTGGTTCCAAGACCTTCCATATTCTGCGATCTGCAACACGAACCACACAGGAAGGTTTTGGATAATTAATTTGTATGACCAGGGGTGGCAACAGATTATGGTAATAATGATAGGATATGCATGATTCATATCACTCAAGCAGTGATGGGTTGAAGCTATGTAAATGACCTTCAACCTGTTAATATGCTCCTCATTCACAAAATATGTTTTTAAACTGAAACATCAGCCAACATCATGTGTAACTTTTTAAAGACGCTTGAGTTAAACACAAATATCCCTCCATAGTCTAGGGCAGTAGCCAAGAACTTCCGATGTGCCCAGATAACCCAAAAATTTGAGCCATTTTAAATTTTTCCGGGTTGCACATTGTTGCAAACGGTACGGTTACAATGTACAAAGTCTTCACTTGGTTTAGTACAGTGAATTTGGCCCATTTCTCCCCCATACTGAAAATTTACAGGATGAATACTCTACAGATATCTGAATGTGGGTAGTTGTTATAAAAATTATCTATTAGAGTATCTTGAAGGTATTTTACAACCACCTGAACGTGACATTTTACGCAGCAATTTTTCACCTTCGAGATCTGGACGACATTTTTGGTTTCTATTCTAGGCTGACTGGCATCATGAACAGATATAAGTAATTCATTTTCAGGCTCAAACGAAGCTGTTGATTGGATCCCTGGGAAGTCGAGGGGAAAATAATGAAAAACATACGCATTGCCAAACAAAATAATATGCAAGAGTACAACAGCTAAGTGATTCAGACATGGCCTTCGGCAGACGAAACATTATTTTAAGGACGCAAGACGTAGGCCTAGTTTAAAATTGTAATTGGTTTGATTGAATAGTTTTCTGACTTACTTTGGTAACAAGTCATAATGTGCAAGTCCAAGTTCAGTCACAAGTCAAAAACTGATAATTACAAGTCAGGTCACGAGTCACAAATATAGCAACTCGAGTGGGACTCGAGTCTAAGTCAAGTGACTCGAGTCTACAACTCTGTTTTCAGGTAATGACTGCTGTCATGGTGATTTTATGGCACTGATTAGTGACAATGCCTTGTTTTACAGGGATACAAAGGACCAACAGGTTACCCAGGACTCATGGGAGCACCAGGATTTAAGGCAGGTTTTAATGAGATTGATGGGGGGCACCATTTCCAACTCTTTGAAAACTATGCCGGTACAGCAAGTACAACACTTCAGACACCTAAAAGTGTTAAGACTCCATTTTTGATAGAAAATACTTTCAATTCAACATGCTGGCTCTTTAAAAAAATGTAGCCCATGTCAGCAAGGTACTCAGCTTGCTGTCAATACTTTCGCCAGACTTGTAAGACTTGTAAGGCATCTCCAGTCTATCTCAGCTTGGAGATGCCTCGTGAAGAAGTGTAAACTTAAAAGAATGTAGCGAGATTCTGGAGAAAGTTCCTTAAACAACAACGAAAAATTCAGTGGTCTGAACCGTGGAGGCCATTTCTGCATGTTCCCAGCACCTGTTGAACTCTGAACATTGCATGCAATCTGATATTCCAACCAGTTTTTCGCATCTCTGCAGGGCCCAGATGGAGATTACGGACCAAACGGCTACCCTGGCCCACCCGGCGTACCAGGCCCTCCTGGTCCCCCTGGAGAGGTAAGTGCAACCTGTTGGTGGCTTTTATCAACACCAGCCACAAGAAAAATCCGACAAAAACAACCTTGCACAAGAAGGCCTTGAAAAAGTGCATAAAATTCATGGCATTTAAACATCAAATATATGAGAGACTTTTTACATCATAGTGATCATGCAGTTGAGTTAATGTGAGCAAGTATTACTTTTGTGAGAATTCATAAAAGTTACCGAATGCAATGTATGCTACCCAAAGAGTTTTTTCAGTCATTTAAGCAAGTTGTCTGTAAAAAAACAGTGATTAATCGGGAGCTTTAATGTGTAGAATCATTTTGTTGCATTAGCTCTGTAAAACACAGAATTCTCTGGCAGTTTTGCCCCAAAATCTCTTTTTCTGCAAACAACACGATGCGCTACCAATTGAAAACTCCATTTTATCATTTCTGTAGACGGAGCAAAACCTGGAAATTTTCCCCAAACATGGAAGCACACATTTAAATGAACCAAGAAATGCAATTTTTAAACTAAAATCCTTGACATTACACCTGTGTGTTTCAATTACTCTTATTTGTGATTTATGTTTGGTAACTTAATCTGTTTTTTTTTTAAATCTTTTTGTGCTAATGCAAATTTGTATATTCATGATGAAAACTGTGCTGTCGTCCTTGGCACTGAACCACAATATTGCATTGATTCGTGCACAAAAACTGTCAGAATTTGGTTTTATTTTACTGTGGTAATTTTCCATTTCTTTTGCAATTTATTGTGAAAGTATATGGCAATAAGCCAGTAAACAGTTTCTCAGAAATGTTTCAGAATTTGAACATGAAAGTATGTTAACTAAGTAGTATCTCCGGTAATTTACATCGCAGCAACAGCACCCTCACTCCTGTAAAGCTTGGCAAATTTTTCATGTTAAACTAAATTTGCCTGTTCACTTACCTGTAAAAGGATTTCCAAGAGTTTTCATATGTTAATGAAGAGGTCGAAGATGTGCAGAAAGAGACCAAGGAAAGTTCGTAGCACAGATCCCTCAAGTGATCTCCGTTCATGCAGCCACACACTGGGCACCGTGCATCAGGGCAGCTGGGAAGGTGTTTCACAGGCTTGATTTGTTCTTCCTCCTCTCGCCCCCCCCCATTTCTATCTGCAGGCAATTGCCCCAGCCAACATCGGATCCATCTCTGGGAAAAAGACTGGCTATGGTTACGGTTATGGATCTGGCCCTCAGCAGGTTGTACAGGTCAGGAAACGGTGGAGCACATTTGAAATGTCATTGAAAAAAACAATTGGAAGCACTGTTTGTACAGGCTGTTCCTGCCTGTATGTATCATTATAGTTGCAATTTATTTAGAATTTATATTAACAGTTTATTTGGAATTACAATGTTTGGCATTCAGAATAATTCTGCTTGTTTCATAAATTTCAGTTATTACATGTTTAATTATATCTAATTAATAATACTACAACTAGATATTTTCAATTGTTAAAATTAAATGTCTCATTTTGGTGATATTGACATGGTAACTATTTGTGTCACACAGTTCAAAACGAACAAATGTAATTTCAAAAAAGCATGGAGAATGATCTCTGCTTGCAAGTTTCTGCGTGAGGCCTCTTTGATAGAGCATCCCAACAATGGCAGGGTGAATTTCTTCCACACCTGCCTCGTTGTATTTAAAGGACCTTCAGGTGGTTGTATTAATTGGAATTGATCACACTAAATGTTGAAGGAATTAAGCAATGCATGTTCTACTCCATATTCCAGAAAACATTTGCGTATACACGCTATCCGTACAGGTTTATTTTTCACTGATGGCAAGGATGCCAGCACAACCAAAACAGATAAAAAAATTACGAAACATTTGGAATGTCATTTGTAAAAAATGGAACTGTCCTCTGGCATCAACCTTTGCACAGGTCTATTTAATTCGATTCGTTTAATCCTGCTGTTTTGACTGTCCAGTTTCTTCATATAAGACGACCCATTTCAGATTATTCCTCTAGAGTTCAGAAGTAGGATCAAAACCTTCAATGCCATTCTCACAATCCACACCCAAACGTGCATGCACAAGATAGATATCATGTAATTGGTGTGTATTTGAAAAAGGCTCTTCAGAGTTGTCAGTGGTTTTTAATCCTGATTTGTTTTATTACTTGTTTCTTGACAGGGTCCTCCTGGGCCCCCGGGCCTCCCCGGTGCCTCAGGTGCAAGGGTAAGTTGGCATAGCTCCTTGTACATCTCCCAAAGGACTTTTGGTACAAGTGCAACAAAGAAGTTACTTGGTTTTGTTTTTACAGTTTGCAGAGTTTGGCTTTAACAAAGACGCAGAGCCCTCTGGTTTATAAAATGAGCAAGTAGGGATTTTCCCATCACATCATGTCTTGAGACATTTCTGGAACGTTTTAATTCAAAGAGAATTTGACGATTTGGTAAAAAAATTAATAAGATGAATATTCCCCCCCCTCAAATGATTTTTATCTCTTTTCTTTAGTTTCTTATTAAAAGCAGACTCCTTATTCAACTTGTTTGGATGTTTTGTAATAGTTGTTTTTGCACTCTTCTAGGGCTGAGTCAATTTGAATAATTCACTATTCGAATATTCAACCTTCAACCTGATCGAATATTTGGTCATACCGACTGGCAAATTGTTGATGAACAAACCATGTACAAAATCAGTTACAATAACACACACAATTGTACATTATAATCACTATATAATAGTTTCTCACATCTAGGAGTATCTTCAGCCATGATTTAGCAAGATTTAAGAGACAAACAATACTTCTTGCCCTGTTGAAAATTTCTATTCCTTTCACATTTTTAAATGAATAATTTACCCCTTGAATTGTAAGATTAGTGTCGCTTTTCATTGGAATCTGTTTGAAACAAGCCTCCATAGTGCAATTTTTCTCATTTAAAACAAAAGAAAATTTGCCCTTCCTTTTCATGGTTTTTGCATTTGAATATTCAAATTCAGAAAATTATGTTCAAGTATTCGATCGTATAATCAATCAAATGTTCGGATATTTGGATATTCAGCACAACCCTATACTCTTCTGGGAAGCGTATTGTTTTGATATATTTTAAGATGATTCAGATTCCAATATTAAACTACTGCTTTTGTTGGTGTTTTAGGGACCTATTGGACTGCAGGGAATCAGCGGTGAATCAGGCCCACTTGGTCGACCCGTAAGTATATCAGGGTGACCCAGTTTGCATTTCTGTCTTTGAATTTGAAGTTGTATATGGCTAAGTCATTGTTGAGACACGGCACATGAGGGAAAAAATCTGTGCTGAGAAGACTTCTTGCCGACCTCCTGTTTATTTACATCACAATAATTTTCATGTAAGCAGCAATTTTGAGTAAAAGGGGCATCAGGCATCATGATTTCACCAGTTAACCATATGCTGGTGGGGAGCCTAGTTTCGGGCACATAGGCTCAATACACTAAACCGGGGACAAAGGCGCTCCTGGATAAGCAATACCTACCACTGCATGCTTAATCTGGCCCCCATTGAAAAGACGCCAGTAGCGCACTGTGCCAGTTTCGGGACGAAACAAATACTTGGACATCAATAAATGTTGTCTGTCAGATTAGAGCAGTAACCAGACAGTTATTCGTGTGGGTGTAAAAGTCCAGTAAATGAAGCCATAATTTTTGAAGAATTTTGAAAACAGAAAATCTTGAAAATCTCCCGTGGTTTGCGTCATGCAAATTCAAATCCCACCCGCAAGCAAGTGGTTAACATGCCAATTTGTGTGTTGTCTTTTTTATCTTCATGCAGGGACCTTCTGGACCTGCAGGACTGAGAGGAGCTGACGGGGAAAATGGCAGAGATGTAAGCCTCACAGTTTAAAACCCCTCCTACTTAGTTGTATCTTGCATCAAACCATTTTGTGAAACTTGTACAGAAGCAGCTCAAACTATCCCAAGCCAGAATTCCAATTTGTATGTCAGGTAGGAGCACAAATAACGAATGACCACAGACCACTGGATGACTTTTCAGCATTATTGTTATGAAAAGTTGTATCTCGGCCCTGTCCTGTGTCTGCCTTCTGCTCCGCTGAACATTCCCACCTGAAAACAGTGGTCTCTCTCCATCAAAATTCCCTTCAGTTTGGAATATACTGCTCCACCAAAAGAACATCCCTAAAGCTGGAGGGCCAACGTAATGAATGCTAGATGCAAGGAATCTGTGCTCTTTATGCCTTTGGGCAAAGAAAAAGAGCCGATGATGGCATTCTCGTAGCTAGGATGAATGAACTTGGGGCTACAATGAAATACTGTCTTGTTTGTCACTGCATGATGTAATGAATTTATCGCAAGATATCCAGGTGGTAAAGTTTACATTATGGCCTGAGGTTCATCTAAATGCACATTTTCGGGTCCCCGTTTTTTTTTCACGCAGTGCTCCAATGTAACTTTTTTCTCACCAATACTCGGCATTAGAGTCAGCACATGTAAATGTTTGCCTTTTGTCCATGTTGATGACTGCCGACCGAAATCCTGTACATGTAGTAGGAATTTGTCAACAGAGTCTCTTTTTTTCAGGGAAGTAATGGAAACACTGGTTCTGTTGGTGCTGCTGGTCCAGTGGGAGCCCAGGTGGGTAGAATTCCTCTTGGCCAATTTCTTATCCCGCATCTCTTTCTTTTTTGTTTTTTTGAAGGCTTCTTATCTAGTCACTGATTCTGAATTTGATTCTTTATTTGACTTATGCCCCTTCTGAACTTGTTCAATAAGATCTTTCTCCTGGTGAGACACACTTGTCGTAATTGGTTGCCAGTGGGACTGACAGGCATTCAGTTTGTTGTATGCAACAGTACCTCTGAAACTTTAGGACCTTGAGGTTTTTCTTTTTGGCCTTAAAACTAAGTTGGACATCCATTTCGTATCTCTCTTCTTTGGCCTCATCCATTACTGTAACTTGTTCCAAGTAACATTAGGAGGAACCGGCAACATATGGTTATAGCCCACTTGGTAGTGCACCAGTGCAGTATTCCATAGGTTGCAAGTTCAGTTCCTGTTTGAGTCAATTTCCATGGTTATCTTTACAGTTACCAGTGTTATTTGACGCATAATATCAATGCTTGAATTCATTGAAGAAATTAAAATTGATAACATGAGTCACAATGAATTAACACCTTCGACTGTTGGTAAGAACATGTAGATTGTGATGTCCATTTTGAGGTATGAAAAAACAAGCAAGTTTTGAATATCAGCCCAACACTGGTATAATGTGTAGTCAGACGTTGCATTGTTGGAAGCAAATTGGCAACTCTCGTGATTGAATGTTGAATTCAGATGTTGTGTTTTCTTTACAATTGTCCTGCAAAATTCTTTTCTGAGCAGGGTCCCCAGGGAATGCCCGGAAATCCAGGACAGCAGGGACACAAAGGTTGGCGGGTAAGAACTGATGTTTTAGTGAATCAAAAAGATTTTTCTTCTCGCCAAAAGAAAACTGATTAAGAACAAAAGTCTAAAACTTTCGACAACGGTATCGTGGCAATCCAAGAAGCGGATACAAAGCATCCCGTATTTCAGTGTAGCAAGCTTCCAGAGAGTGAGTTTAGTCAGCTCAAGAAAGACTTGAGTCCTTCTAAAGAGCAGAAGAAGCACAAATTTATTGAGATAAGTCTGCATAGATGTGATGTTTTCGGTCCCACAAAAAGGTGGTTGTTTTCACGAGTAACATCCCTTTTGTTATTTAAATGTCTATTTAATCTGGGTTTTTCCTGGGGGACAGGGTGCTCGCGGCCGCAAGGGTGCACGCGGTGATACCGGTGACATCGGCGACAGCGGAGCGTCTGGAGCAGTTGGACCTGCTGGAGCTCCAGGACAGAGAGTGAGTCTGAGAAGACAACTATCCATGTGGTTTGGCCCAACTCTTAGATTGTGTGGATGACACCAGTGCTCATGCAGCACCTGACTAAATTCCCATCATATGATTGGTGGGTTGTCGATCATGTGTCATGTATTATTTGGTATAATCAGTGGCAGGCTGTGAAATGTACCATTGTACTGCAGTAGGCACCATCGTGGCTCGTCACACAGATGCACAACATTTATGATGATATTGACAAATAGACGTAAACTACCATTCCATTTTCTGTCTGTTGTGGAAATATCTCAACTTGTAAGTGAAGGTTGTACTTTTGCTAGATAGATTCAAATTAAATAGGTTGTCAAATTATTAGAGCAAACTGGAAGCCGTGACAAGCAGGAACATCCGTGCGTGAACTGAATAGAAACATGGAAACTTCATGTCAAGATTTTACGTCCGACTGGAAAAGTGGCAACCTGTTCGGAGTTTACAAAAGATTTATTCAGGTGTTGCATAACGCAGCACAAAAACATGATTGTTGTGCACTGGAAAGAATAATTTCATTCAGTGACAGATTGAATGTTCCATTCCCTTGGTTTCTCACCATGGAATACCACATTCAGTCTATGATCTCATGAGATTTTTCTTACCGTTGCACTCAGGAATATGCATTATTTTTATTATGTCTCTGAAGAACAGGCATGTGAAATTTTGTGTCATGGTGACAGCCATAGACACCAAAAGGTCTTGTAAAACAGTCATTTATAAAGAGACTTTTTTGTGTCAACTGTTAAGCTGTGCTGGCACAGCCTATGTGAACAGCATTTGGAAAGTGCCAAACAGTGACACTGTGGGGTCATCAGGGAATTTGTATCGTCCCACGCACATAACACAACCCTCCCGGAAACCACAGCCATATCTAGGGGACATCAACAAAAACCCAAACGTGTTTTTAAAACTAAAATTATGGAGAAAAATTGAATTTTTATCAGTTTATTTTGTTTGGTGGGAGGGGTTGATAACAAGAACGTCTGGAAAATGTTCTAATTTCCAACGTTTTTAAAGATGCGGTTAAAAAAAGTCATTTTAGAAAGTTAAAGAATGATGCTCAGTTACAGTAAGCATGTTTTTCAGTATTCTTGTTTAGAACAGGGACGCCTGCACCATCCCTGTAGTCCGTTATTTGTTACTTATTCCTTATCTTTCATGGCTTATTCCTCAGGGTGACCGTGGTGCACAGGGAGAGAGAGGGGAGCGTGGAGGCAGAGGCGTGGCTGTAAGTGACTTGTCCAGTACTTGGTGTTGAAGGTGACCTCAGAGGATTACCTTTTATCATCTGAAACTGTTCAAGACAAGAAAGACCACTATCAAATAGTGGCACGCTCCCTCCCCCTTTTTTTTAATTATCCGGATGTATTAGAAAATACCTTTTATGTGTTTCATGTTTTGCTCCCAAGTGGTTAGTTATTAAATTTTAAAAAGGGACATTTTCATCCGGAAAAAAAATTGACCCACTTGTTTGTTTGGACACCTTGCTTTCCATAAGTGCAGTGCACCTTTGCTCCATTATAGATGTTGGAATTATCACTGAAGAAGATTATAGAATTTTTAGTTGTATTGAGAACAGTATAAATTTACACTTAAAGAGTGCTCCCTAAGTTTAGGTAACTCTGAATTGGATTCTTTTGAAAATTGAATATTTGAAATTCTTCACAGCCAATCTCAAATCAATGATGCATTGTCGTTGCCAATACGGATGCTGCTTGAATTTGAACGTAAAAATATTTCTCTCTGGTACTTGCGCTAATGCTTTGTGTTCGCCTGACTATGTCATTCAGGGTGTGAGGGGCCAAGACGGAAGTGATGGCGATATTGGCAGTGCTGTGAGTAGAAAATATTATTGCACCTGTCATCTTTGTGATCTGATCAAGCCCCCTCAATGTTTGCACTGTGTTAATGAGTGAAAGGAGAAAACAGAACTAAGAAAATGGAGAAAATAATGCCAGGAGGAGGGAGGATTAATTCACCTTTTGAACAATGAATTGCATTGTGGAAAGAAAAAACACTGTTTGCGTGCTCTCACTGGAAAGTGTTTGATGTGCAAACATCTATATGTAAAGCTAAAATTGCCCCAGAGGAACAGGGGTGTTGTAGGTTTTCAAGCACCCCTAACATTTCGGACATAACACCAGTGCAACCCTAACTTTTAGTAGACATACAACCCCCTTTTTATTTTTGCTGTTAATGGTATTGATCTCGTTTTTAACTTTACCTCTTTCCATTTTAGGGCCCAATGGGTGCTCCTGGATCCATGGGTGCAATGGGTATGGCTGGTGCTAAGGTAAACAAATATTGACAGACACTGGCTTAGGAAGGAATGATTAAAGTGGGTGAACATTTTAAAGTGCAGTTTGTCATGTCAAAGATGGAAGTATTCAGAATGCTCTCTTCAAAGTATTCATAACATTCTGTTCAAGTGGATGACTTCTTGTCAGTCTCTGAATTCAGGATTATCAAAAATGTACAGAGATTTGAATGTTTGGTTATTAGTTCTGCAGCCCGATTCATGAAACTTTACACAGTGGTGTAACTCCACTTTATACGCCACATTTTATTGCGTAAGTTGCTCAACAAATTTTACGGAACTTATGCACTGCATAAGTCCATGACTTACACGACAGATTATGGTGTAACTTATGCAATCATTTTAGGTGGTGTAAGTTGAAGTGAAAATGAACAATTTGACGAGCTTATCATGTTCGGTTAAGCCTCATCACTGCCGAACTTAGCAAGGCTTTTTTGAGAATGTACACCTTTGTTGTAGAAGGTAATAAAAAACTTATTTGGCTATTGGAGAACTGCAGTTCAACAACTGTGTGATGAATGCTGTTAAACTGGAAAGAAACAGCCATCATAAAAGCTGTTTCTGTCCTCATCCAAGAAATTTAATATTATTAAAAACGTAGTGCACCTATGCAATTTTTCATGAAATCGAATGTAAGTGTATTGTGCACCTACGGCATAAATTTGTGGTGCAAGGCATATGCACGGTTCAAAGTTACACCACATTTGGGAAATCGGCTGCTGGCGTTTGAATTACACATCCCGTTATCATACTGGAAATACTAAACACTAAAATTAAAGTTCTCTATGTAATTTACTGTCATACTGTTGGCAATGTTATTTGTCATTACAAAGGGCTAATGCAGCACCGTATGGTAGTTCTTTGGAAATGAAAGCATGGATGGATGATTTGGATAAGAAAGGAAAGAGGGTTAATGTTTAATAGTGTGTAACATTGGTTAGTATTCTCTGGCAAGGTTCGGAAAAATCACCAAAGAGCAGCTCAAGCGACGATCATTTGTTAACCCCCAGTCAGTTTTGCTTGGTGCTCAGAATATATTTTATACTCGGGTCACCAGGGAAATCAATAAGTATGTAGCTGACAATTGGTCGTCCATCAAACTTGCCCCATAATGTCTGAAACAGCAGTAGTCTTATTCGTCTGTTAGCATATGAATGGGATTTTTTTAAATCATAACTTTGTCCCATCTCAGTCATTTTTTCATATTAGAAGTGCATTTAAGCCCACAATTGTTTGGCCTTTACAAATATCCATCAATCTTTGGGTTGATCATGTACAGCTCGTCTAGTACAACGATCTGAGACCCCCAAAGTCAGTAGGAGAGGTAATGAAAATAATCCGGCAAATCCAGAGATGCTAACAAAGCTGAGACAGGTGAAAATGCCACAATGTTCACAAAGAGGAATCGGCAACAATGGAATCAGTGGTGGTTTGTGCAGCCATGACATCATTACATCATTTGTGGTTATACTCAGTTGTTTGTGAATCAACATTGTTGTGATGACCTTCCGATAGGGAGATGCAGGACTTCAGGGTGATCAGGGCATCCAAGGCATCCAAGGTCAGCGTGGTGAGAGTGGATCTGATGGTGCCCCTGGAGCAGCCGGTGCCTCTGTAAGTTTTCCACATTGACTTTTTATGTGTTGTTTACTAAAGGTTTGAATCACATACTCAATTTTTCTGTTTACTCTCTTTCTGTTCTGTCTGTGTTGCATATTAAGAAATAGCATGTTGGTTAATGACTACACAGACATAAAGTTGCTTCGATTGTCCTATGTCCCTTTTCCCCCATAGATTTTACAGGGATTTGTAAACAGAGTCAAAAAGGCAGTCAAGCAATAAAATCTAGGAGAAAAACTATAAAATCTAGGAGAAAGATGAAAGCAGTTTATTATACTGGGTGGCCTGGGTGGGTAGTTGGTACGGCACTTTCCTCTCACAACTGTGGTCGAGGGTTTTGATTCATGTCTGGTCCATATGCGAATAGAGTTTGTTTGTTCTTTCCTGTTCCAAATCAACACTTAACATCTCTGGCTTTGCACCATGGGCAAATGTGGGCCATTTGATGGCTACCTGAGACCCATTTTACATGTAGTGGGGCTCAATCATGTTGTAATTTAATGTGTCTTTAATGTACAGTGCTTTTGAACGTTATCACGGAATTTATTCTTAAATGAATAGATTTGTGTGTGCTATAAAAATGCCATGTGTGTGTTTTCTCTGTGTGTGGATGCCAATAGCTTCAACACATAGTCCTTGCGTAGTTGAAGGATTCATGAGAAAGTCCATCCCTTCTCACTTTGCATTGTCTGATCCTGATAAAAATCTTTGCCATCTGTTGTTTTCTAGGGAAATGATGGAACGGATGGAGCAGCCGGACAAATTGGTGATGTGGTGAGCCTAGCATGTTCCTTTAACCCATCTTGTTACCCCACTCAAAAGTTCACAACTGCAGAGTCAAAATGCTGATTGCTAGCTAGGTTGACCTCATGCTTTTAAGCTCATTTTTTTGCCGCCTTTTATTTGGTCCACTCATGGAGTTCATATTTGCAGAAAAAAGTGTGAAAGACTTCAACACTTTGTGATCATAGAGTAGTCCCGCCCCCCCAGTGATTGTCACACTTTTGTACTCGCTTTTGCACTGAGTTTAAATCAACCTCTTCATACGTACTCTCCTTACAGGGTGGTACAGGGCCCTCTGGCCCAGTGGGTGCCCCAGGAGCAAGAGGATCTGCTGTAAGTTAGTTTATTACTGTAGAAACTGTTAAAGTATTCCAACTTGTGTATTACAAGTGATCGCAGACGTATAAAATTTACAAGGTTACCAATCCAAGGAAGAAATCCCTTCGTAGCACCCCTGATGTGCTCATGGCTTCACAAAGAATTGAATGAAATTTTGTTTGCTGCTGGGTTATGCCTCGGCAAGACTTTTTAATATTCGGTGCTTCCAAGATTGGTCAACTGGTATTCTTCATTGGTTTGCCAATTAGAAGTTATTAAAACTGGGTGTAAGTAAAGAGGCGAGTATAAATTTAGGTAACACGAACATTCATTCACATGCAAGTTACTGAATGATTGGGTTCCAGTACCCTTATACATGGGATTTGCTCTAACTCCACATCAGGGGCGCATGTGGTTTTAAACAGATAGAATTAGTTAAATTGTTCTCATTTTGTCTCTCTGTTTGTTCATTGTTGTGAAGTATGGAGCTAATTGACTCGCAAAATTACTCCCTCTACACAGGGTACCCGCGGGGCCACTGGACCCGGCGGTGAGCCCGGTGGCCAAGGCTACCCTGGACTGGCTGGAGCTCGTGGTGCTGACGGCTCTCGTGGTGTGACGGTGAGTTGCATTATTTATTCGAACATTTTGCGCAGTGGTGCCCACTCAGTGTTGAGAAATTGGCCGGAATCGTTTGTAATTAATGCTTGGAACCCGAAGCCTGTTATTACAAGATACTAATAATAACACACCTAAAATCCCTTTTTAGTGTGCTTTAAAGATAGTCATACAGAGTCTCAAGGTAACCATCCCCCAATGTTTAGAGTACTCTTCAAGATTACTTAAAGAGTAACAATTATTGAATCATTGTGTAAAATGCTATAGTCAATGAGAAATTATTTGGCCTCTGGGATTGACATTTCTTGGATTGAAAACATCACGCTCTGGAACTTGGTAAAATCTTAATCTGGAATGTCAACAATAATGGAAACTTTCTGCGTGCAGTGTTTATGGTAGTTGTGCTTAATTGCCAGTGTCTATATTTGCGTGTAACATTTATCCAGTATTAGAAAAATTGTGCATGATTGGTCATAACTTACCCCCAGGAGATAAAAAGATGCACCCTTGTTTCTTCTCTGGACAGGGACCTGCTGGTGCTGTTGGGGAGCCTGGTGCTGATGGGTCCGAGGGCGCTACGGTAAGTAAATAATCTTGGAGCGTCAGTTTGCCCAGGAAGTTTTCCTTTGTTGTTGAATGGTTAAGCCTATATCTGATGTCTGTATATGTGTACTTTGGATCCGTTGCAGTTTTCCATGCTTAGGAAGTTTGGCAGCGTATTTCAGTAAAATGCTGACTGAGTGCAACCTTGCAATAGATATAAGTTGCTGACTCGTGCATCCCTGCCAGCCATGGCCAAGACTTGTGGACATAACCGTCTCACCTTCTCTTGGCAAATTGTACAGCAGATAGCAGCTCAGTTGCTGGGGAAGTTTGTCAGTGATCATTATTCATAGAGTTTGTGTGGCGAATCTGCAGTCACCAAAACATCAGAATCCTACAACGTTGAAGGATTTAAATTGTTCCGTTTTTTGGTAGATCCCAGTGACCCTGCCACTACAGTCAGAATGTGTAGTGGCCATCTTATTTGACATTTACAGGAACCTTTTTTCTAAGATTTCTTCTATTTTCTTTAAATTTATTCTTGTCATCCTGACCTCTTTCATTGAGTATTGAAATTGCACTAGAGATAATCACAATTTAATGTGACACTTTCCTCTATCAATCACATTTGGTAGGGTCCAGATGGACCGGCTGGAGGAACTGGCCCAAGAGGGCCAGTGGGAGCCCGAGTAAGTAAACTATAATTGAATGTTTGCAGTACCTCATTTTCGTACCTGTCTTTTGTACCTGTGTTCGACAGAAGAAATCAACAGGTAAATCCAGAACAGATGACTGTGCTGTTTTGGGTTATTCCTATAATATATGACAGACATTTCAGCAGATATTTCAATATCTAAATGTCAACCCTGTGAAAGAATTCCTGTCAGAAATACTTCCCTATTGAAGAATCTTTCACAAGCATTCCTTGCTCAGCATAAATCTTAAGCACCAACCCATTTACTTGATTTCACTTCATTCTGTATATTTCATTTCTGGAATTTTTTTTGTTCTTCCCCTTCAAAGTAACATTAAAAGAACTAGTTTAGACGTTTACACGTTGAAAAAAAGAATGTAACCAGCAACAGATTCTGTTGTGGCACCACTTTCTTGCAGGGAAGTATTGGCTCACAAGGTCCTGTAGGTGCTGTTGGTGCTCCTGGCTTGAGGGTGAGTTGAATTTAGTCTAGTGTAAACAAATCTACTTAGCACGGAAACTGTTGCTAAACAAAACAGGTTACCAACCCAAATTCCTTATTGATTGATTTCACTCTGCACTGGTTCTCGGCTGAAATGAAGTAAAATTGGGGCCTGGCTATCTGATCAAATACAATAAACATCAGATTTTGTCTTTGTTGACAGAAGTTTCCAAGGTAGATGAGTTCGACTGATTTAAGTATTGTAATAAAAGTATCAGAGATTCAGTGACATTTGTTTCATCTTTAAATTTCAGATTAAAATGTTAAATTGTAACCTTTGAATGTTGGTTACAAATAATTCAAGTGTTGAAAAAGAAGTAAATATATACCTCAGACGTTGTAATTTGCAAGTTATTCCTTTTAAGAAGATTCATTTCAAATACAATCATCTTCTCAACAGCATTGTACAGTGCTTTCTTTGAGACCTTGTAGTTTCTCCAACAGTTCTTAGTGCTCAGAATAGAAATACAACAAAAATCATAGTCTGTAAGAACAAGATCTCCTTAAAATATATCAGTTGAAACTGAAAATTTCAAAGAAATAGTGGGTGGTCTGGTGTTGCCTGGCAACATTATCATGTGAGAGATGATTTGGAAGACCAAGGAAGTGACAAGTGATACAGCCTTCTGATATGATGGCTCTAGTACCAAACCCAGTGATTATAGTTTTGGGTCATCTCAAGTGTTGGAAGGTTTCTGTCAGCCAGTGTAAGTCAGTAAATCAATCTTCTCAGCTGCAATTTTTTTCCAGCACCCCTTCTCAGCCTTTGCATCTGCTTATGTCCATTGACTTCCTCCTAACTTCAGCCAGTGCAGTGGTCAGCACGACCAGTGAGTGCACCAAGACTTGTCAGTATCAAATGCATGTATATGTTTTTATTTTGTCTCCCAGGGTGATGTTGGACCGCAAGGCGCTACTGGAGCTCCCGGAGACAATGGAGACGGGGTGAGGAACCTTAAGCCTTCTTTTGGACAAATGTCACCCTGAGCCGTGTAAACAGTGATGTATTGTTTTTGAATTTCTGTTTTGGACGGGGTTTAGTGTGGAGTGAAGCAGCACGGCAGATTGGGTCAAGGACAGTAGCAGATGTCTCATATATGTTAGATGTTAAAATTTACTCACTGAAAAAATAACTGTCACATATGTTGATCTTTGTGAGAAGAGACTGGCTGTAAAGAAAAGATCACAAAATTGTAGGGAGTTTGTTTCCTTTTTACACATTGTCATTATTTTATACAACTAGAAAAAATGAGCACTCATACGAGGGCAAATACTTCATAAATACGATAAGCAAAATAATTATTTGGATAGTGTGGAGAAAAAGACAATTAAATAGGCCATTCGAAATAGGTTTGGATTAGAAAAAGCAGTCTTAACTGTTTGGGTCCTTTGGTGGTAACAATAACCCAAAGGCCGGTTCGTTTGTTCTTTGAATGACTGCAAAATACAGTGAAACACAGATGCAGAAATAAAGCAGTCAAATAGATCGAAAAGAATAAAAGGCTTCAAAAATTATGAAAATTTCAAAATGAAATCCGTCTGTAATTTTCTGTTCAATTCAAAGAGAGAGTTCAATTGTTTTCCCTACTTGTAATTTGAAAATAAACATCATTTTTTTTTCTGAACTGATTTACAGGGTCAGGCTGGAAGTACAGGAGATGCCGGAGCCCCCGGTGCCCAGGTAGATCCCTCTTGTTGTTTGTATTTCAGTGTCTGTACCTTTGTACTTAACGCTAGTGTTTGTTATTGGCAGGTGTTTGTTTTTCTCGTTCAGCTTCTTTGGTGCAAGTTCTTTCCCTACTCACTCTTTTACCTTGATTTGTGTTTTTTATCGCAGGGCCGACCCGGAAGCTCTGGACGAGATGGCAACACGGGAAAGCCAGGACCACCTGTAAGTTGTCTCGACAATGGACCAATAGAGATTTGGTGCTCAAAAACATCTAATACCCTCTCTATTAACTGAAAAAAAACAGCAGTAGTTTTATACAAGACTGTACAAAGTTCAAGGACCTGACATTTTATTGCAGCTGAATCCTTCTCAAATGGAAATATTTTCTTGTATATCTCCTCTGCTGCCACTACAGTGGTTTGCACATTTCTCATGGAGCTTAACTTAATATTCCCACCATTTTCACTTTGACTTGACCCATTGTTTGTATGTATCAACCTTGAAAATCACCAACTCCCTCAGATGTCAGACCAGAACTTTATGCTTGCTACATCAGTTTTGAAGCTTTCTGAGCTGTTGGACAAATATTTTGTAATTTGAAACTGAACTCCAGATCTCTGTCTACCGGTAATGCTGTTTGCATTCTTAGTCAGTTTTTCCAACAAAACTTGCATGACTACTTGACACATCCATTTGCATTTCATTTCATTGTTTGGTTTGTATTTTGATTCATTTCACAGGGTTCATCTGGCAATGATGGACAGCCTGGACCACCTGGGCCGAATGTATGTTTAAAAACTTCTATCCACTTGTAGTGTTTTGTTGTTTGCTTTTAGCAAGTGATATGAAATTGGAAATGTGCAATCAAGTTTAGTACAGATAATTTTGTCATCCTAAACGGAACAAGTTTTTGGCATCCTGCCCTTTAATTGAGCGTGAACAGAGAGCAACAACTCTAGTTCGTTTTGAGATCAAACTCATCTAGCACATCTGTTTTAGTTTTTGCATTTTTTCAAAATTTAATGTAAGACATTGCACACTTTACTTTGCATAATCAGTATTTCTCATTGACATGTGGGCTTGCAGCTTCAACCCTAGTACTTCCGATCTTTGAATCTTGTGTTGGCATGCAATTGCAATACCCAAATTGGCCAAGTTTCTGCATTTTCATTTCTGCCAACAGGGTCCTCAGGGGGCGAGAGGCAACATTGGCCTAACTGGAGCCCAAGGAGCAGATGTGAGTTGATCCAGCTCATTTAAGTCTTTGAAAAACAGGATCGGAACCTCATATATTGAAATCTGTTTGGAGATGTCTTCTTGTTCCAATTGGAAAAGTCGTGGTGAACGATTCATTACCCTCTGAATGTTCACAAATATGTTTGCTTGTTCATGTTGATGCTCATTGTAGATTATTGGGTCAGGTGAAGCCAGTTCTCTTATTACACAACACCCCATGCTGTTTGTGCCAAGTTACCCTTCACTGAGCAGAAAAATGTGACGAGTGACCATTATGCCATTGGATAAAGAATTCATGGTAATTTTGTGAGGAAATAAGTCCCACTCTCCAGCTTACAATGTAAGATGTACGGTTGCTGACCAACTGCTTGCCTGTTCTGGTGGTGGCCGGTCTTGAGGAAACTCTGTGGTCGTGTGGTACTTTGACATCTTCTGAACGGATCCTATTAATGATGATTGCTTGAGTTGAGTTCGGGTTGATGATTAGTGATATCTACTGTGTTCGGCACACTTGTAGTTGTCCTAGCTTGAGCCCACCTGCACAATCCGACGTCAGTGTCCATCCATTTATGCTGATTGGTTTACCTCTGTACAGGGTGAAGAAGGAAGGACCGGAAACCCTGGCTCAGTTGGACCAAGAGGAGCGAGTGTAAGTTGACCGTAGCTGACCGGGTTCATTAATATGATCCTTGAAAACATGACTTTGCTTTGATTTGATACGTTGGGCCAAAGTTGTATAGTTTACTCCTGATGTGCTCCTGTAAAGTGAGGAAAAGTGAATAATTATCAATTGCCGATAAATCCTTACTGGAACAGGTCTTTGTCTCTTTCAATATTTAAAATTTTTTGTAACAATTTTGAAACTGATGCTTTCACTGTAGTCAACAGTGACATTGAAACTCACAATCATGTTTCTGTGACTTCTCCCATTTTTGCAGTGGAATGATGTATTTGGACTCCTACACTCACCGTCAGCAATGGATAAGCTAGAGACTTAATAATTCAATTACCAGACTTCCACTCGGTGTCTTAATACAAATGCCAACTATTGACAGTGACATTGCCTGTACAAAAGTTGTCATTCTTTGTAAGCTGAGATCAGTAGGTTTCTGTTTGATCTGTCAGGGTACCCCTGGAGACATTGGACCTCAGGGCCCAGCTGGACCTGCTGGAGCTCAGGGTGCGCGTGGAGATGCCGGACCACAGGGAGCTATCGGACCTGGAGGAACCAACGTAAATTGTTGAAAATATTCAAACATTTCACGTCAATTCATGTAAGGACAGTTGAAATACTTGATTTGGACACCGGTAGGGTTTCCTTAGTCTGCAAAAATGGTAATCGGATGTCAAGAAATATTCACTTCCCAAGAAATGCAGAACTCACAGATGCTAAGAACTCAAATGGGCCCCTTTGTTTTGAGCACCATGGGAGCTCTCAGTATTGGCGTGAGTATTCCGAAAGACTTCTGTTCTGACTGTTGGTACTGTTTGGCACTGATTTTTTTTGGGCCAGGGTGGAGTTGGAGCACCAGGGCCACGTGGAGCCCAGGGTAAACGCGGTGCTGCCGGTGTAGCTGGACCCCCAGGACAGGGTGGACCTCAGGGAATGGCTGTAAGTCTGTCTTTACTCACTGGAAGTGCCCTGGGACCAATTCTGGCTGGTCAAAATGTCCTTAAAATCATCGAAGGTGTGTTTCAGAAGGAATTCTTTGTTGTCTTGTTTGGCACTGATACGTTTTACCTTAAATTAAAGTATGTACTTAAAGATTTGTTTCTATCCAACATCTTTTAGTTTAGATAAGTGTCATACTAAGGCAGTTGGCGATTTTCATAATAACTGACTTGAAATTCTTTCAGGGTGACCGTGGTGCTCAAGGACCAATGGGCTTGGCTGGAGCTACAGGACCAGACGGTGATGCTGGGGCTGATGGACGTGATGGACGTGACGGAGAACCGGTAGGGCACTGTACCCAATCCACTCTGTGGGTTTCAGTGGGCATTTTTATACAGAAATATAGTCAACCCAAAAGAAGCACAGTTGATGTGTGCTCCAGGCTCCACATGTTACAGAGCTAGTTTGAAGACCAAGTCATGGCTTTTCCTGAAATCTTTGGCTGTGGCTTAACACGGCACATGCACTTCTGGAGGCTGTAGCCCAGAAACTGCTGAAACTTGCCATCTGGGCAGTTGTGTTGCTGCAGGATGTATCCAGGGGTTGTAGACACAGCGAACAGTAACCTTACGTGCCTGTTACGGACCCGTGAAGAAAAAGGTCTGCATAAATGCCAGCTTGTGTGGACTAAGCCATTTGAAAATCATCAAGGTCTGTGATTTTTGTTTTCAGGAGACAACTTACAGGATCAACTGCCCTTTTCTTTATCTTCCAGGGTGACAAGGGAGCTGCTGGGGATGTAGGACGCATTGGAATCCCAGGCCTCCCCGTAAGTGCGTCAAGTTTTGTTGGTGACATTTATATCGTGGGCGAAATGCTGCCACACTAGTTAGTGTCACAGTTTTACTCAAAGCTAGAGCCATGGAACAGGCACTGTCGCTCATTTTTTGGCCTACTGAGTCAGACTACTGGATGATTGTAGTGTGCAGGAATACCACATGGTTGGAAAACTACTTTCTCATGGGTGTGCATGGGAAACTGGACTGCGAGTGGAAAGTAAATGATACCTACCATGCAGACAGCATGGGCCTTCATCTTGACTTACTTTTTGGACTGCGCCATGGACTCCTTAGAGCAAATAAATATAGAGTGTGTGTACAATGTGGCACTTTTATCTTCACATTTATCATGAATTTAGTTTTGTTTACTTGGCAGGGTGCTCCAGGAGACCGAGGTGGGGCTGGAGCTATTGGAAATGCTGGAGCACCTGTAAGTACCTGCTGTTTATCCTTTTCAGAAGAATCAAATTTGTTATTGGATTCTATGGATATGGACTTCTGCTTTCACTGGTGCCCGAAAACTTAGTGAATCCACTGTTGATATTGACAGTGATGGTAACGGTGAGATGGACAGAAACTGTGATGGCCACAAGAATCACAGGCATGGAGAGGAGGGGGAAGGCCCTCCCTCCAGCCCCCCACCCCTGGAAATAAAAAAATTAAACAGGAAAAAAGAGTAGAATCGAAAGGCAAAGTGAGCGAAACAAACAAAGGACAAAAGTTGATGGAAATCACCAGTTTGCTTCAAAACACCTTGGAATTGATCCTCTTTTTTCTATCTGTGGTTTATCACTTTGATACTTATCAGTACGTTACCCACCCCTCCCCCCAAATAAAAGAAGTCCTGCTACCCTATGGAAAAAATCCTGGTCTGACTCTTGACAAGAATGATGGCCAGTGATGGTGAAAACAATTTTTTGTTTCTTGCGCAGGGTGCAAAAGGAGCAACAGGCAAGCGTGGAGATGCAGGAAATCAAGGGCAGAGAGTAAGTCATTGATGATTCTTCCGATAGTTTCTTCTTTGACTTTTTTCCAGAAATATAAAATCCAACAAATGCCGCAAGCTTCTTGCTGGCTGCAGTGACTTTAAACACAAACTGGCAATGGACAGAGGGCGCGAGTTTTTGATCTTAGCAGAATGTTTCTCAAAGGCAAAATGACAAGTAGACAGAGATAAACAAGTAGGAAAGAGATCGGCAGATTGTTACTTTTTCCTGTGAAAAATCAACCTACGTTTTGCAGTTGCTCACGTTTTAGCCGAGTTTATGCCTAATGCATGCTCACGGCTCACTCGAGGAAATATCTTGTCCAAATGTAGCATATAAGGCAACCCCACTTAGTTGAAACAGTGCTCAGGATAGAACATGTCAACAGGATGCTTTTGTGTATAGATTTGAAAAGGTCAGTCCAGTCCGCTGTATCAAATTTGTACTTTGTTTTGCAGATGTGTCGTAAATTAATCATAATAAGTCATAATAGCCGAGTGTGTGGAGCTGCTTCTTGCATAGAGATGAAGGCACAGAAATAGTTTTGGTTCTATTTTGGTGACATCACATTTTGAGAATTTTCATGTGACTGCATCTATTTTGAAGCAGTTTTCCCATTTAGCAATTCTAAAAATTGCTTTTTTTTGTAATTTCCAGTACATGTATATAGTTGGAAATGAAAAGATTTACTGAAGCAACATTTGAACTTTTGGCATTTACAAATCCCTCTCGTCTCACAGTGCCTTTGTGCACCAGGGCACTAGAAACAACTTTACGTTTGGGAGGGTTGGTTTGCATTGAAAGAACTGTAGACATTTGTGGTTTTTCAGTTGTATGCTCATTAGAGGAGATTTATGATTCATCTTCCTGTGATTGTTTTCCCTTCACAGGGAAGTCTTGGCCCTCCCGGTCCAGCGGGATCTCCCGGACTGCGTGGTGAAGCGGTACGTTCTCACATCAGGGAAATGCAGTGCCTTGACACCAACTGCACCCCGTACAATATCCCCCCCACAGTGTAGCATGATAAGTGATGGCTGACATACACCATATACTGCTGTTTTACATGTACTCTCCTCAGGTGGGGCAGAGAACGAGGTTCCTATCACTCTTGGTGTTGGTTGGTATTCATTTTAGGTACGAGAAATCTCAAAACGAAAGAGTTCATTTATGACGTCCAATCTGAATAAATCTTACTAGTTGATAACGTTTGCTGATCTACAGGCTGCTCGCAAGAAAAGTTAGTATGGCAAAGTGCTACAAAATTAGCAGCGGGTGAACTTGGCCCTATTCCACTTCTGCCCCGTCGCTGAATGTTGGACATATTGTGTTGGCTTTATTTTTTCCTCTGGGTGTTTGTTGTATTTAATACGCAGGGAGGTACTGGAAGATCTGGCAGAACTGGCCCTCCTGGATCCAAAGGAAATCCCGTAAGCTCGCAGCAGTCTCAACATTGAACATCTTTCTGTGGTCAACTTGCCTCATGTCTTACGTTCTGTTTGCATAAAGGGGAACACTTTCTTTCCCCGATTTTCTTTTGGTGCCTCACTTGTCGCGTAATGGATGGAAGCTTGGATTGCACATTCAACCTAGTATGCAGGCTGTATTCTGAACTGGTCCTCCACCTGTTGAAGTAAAATCTAGTTTAGTTTCTGAACTCGTTCATTGGGTTTCCCAATCATTACTTGATAGGCATGGCTTCTAGGGTGAATTTAGTCCTTGACAGGCAATGATGTAACTGGAGTGAAATTTTTGAGGGGTCACCTAGGAAACCCGACAATATTTCAAGGGGACATGGAAAGCAAATGAACAGTGGCTTCCGCATTCCAATATTTGAATGGGGGTCATCCAAGGATGCCACGAACTCTCAGTGGGGGCCTCCCTCCCCTTATGCCACTGTTGATAGGGTTTCCATCTGTGCAAGTATTGAAACTCACGGGCATGCAACCTTTCCTCAGATCAGCTGATTTCCTCATTTTTCAGTTCACGCTCTTGCCATAAAAAATTGAAAAAACACTGTACAAAGTCTTGTAAAGATTGGAATTTTCTCGTTTTTTGTCAAAGTCCAAGTTGTACGCCTGAACTTAGGTCTTCTGTGTTGCTGACTTTGTACCCAAATGGCAATATTGACCAGTAGAATCGCTCAGGCTACTCTTAATCCTAACCCCTTAGGACGTAAGTAAACTCGTATTGAAATTGGAGGATTGAGGACAGGTTTGGATAATGGATAAAAAAAAGGTAGGGGCTGATTAAAATTGCGGAGATAAAGAGTGTTGCAGTCAAACCGACTTGCTTGTGATCCTTTAAAACAGGGTGAGAGAGGCAGAGCAGGCGATCGTGGAGCCCAAGGCATCCCAGGAGGACAGGTAAAACTCATCCTGTCAGATGATATCCTTAATTTAAGAACATGTATTTGCTTACAGCTTATCTTGACTTCAACTTATGCAAGCAGTGTTTTGTTTGAATCGTCGCGGCATCTTCCTCAACCTGACATTTCTGTTGTTTTATTCACAGGGACCACAAGGAGCAGAAGGAGCTCGTGGAGAGAAGGGACCCAAAGGAAATCCTGGTGATCCGGGAGTCCAGGGATCAGTGGGTGGACCAGGCCGTACTGGCGCTCCGGTAAGTAAATCCTGGGATGAAATTCAAGGCCCCCACTCCTTTATAAGATGAAAATTTTCCCCGAATTCCCAAACTGAGAAAAGAAACCCTTCTGAGCTGAATGAGAAGAGACTGTGCTTCATTAAGAAGCCATTTACTAAGGTTCTGTGGTATTACTGGAAATATCGCTTGATTTCAGGGAGCCACCGGAGCCCAGGGAGCACGCGGGGAACCAGGCGAATCGGGATCAGTGGTATGTACATACCTCTTGCTGGAACCTGTTGAAGTCAATGCACAAGATGAACAATGGGTGTCATAGGCCAGGTTGCCATTTCTGTGCCTGTCATGGCCTGGGCTGGTTTTGTTAGGGTGTTATGATATTCCCATCAATCATTTGTGTCATTTCATACCTGAGAATTTTGGATTGTCAGTAATTGCTCACCATAGTCTGTCTGTTAATGCCCATAATGCTGACTGTTTCTAATCTTTAGCCTTGATTTTGAATTTCAAAGGGCATCGGTGGAAATTCTGGACCAGTGGGACTTCCTGGACCCAGTGGTGCACCCGTAAGTAGAAATCTAGAAATCCATTCAGATGTCATGAAGCTGCATAAAGTGGCAGGATTTGGTAGAGGGTGAGTTTTCCTGTTTCACAATCAACAACGTCACTCGTTTCTTTTGTCTTTGCATTCAGGGATCACGAGGAGAGGTTGGACCGCCTGGACCAAGTGGCAAACCAGGTGCACCTGTAAGTATACCTTCTTCTGTGTCAGATTTTGCAGCAGTATGGCATTCCAAAGGTCGCATTCTTGAATCCTGCAGTTGCATTACTTGTGATCGTCATTATCAGCCCAGAAGCGAGTCACAGTTTTGTTGATCTCCTGTTTTGAAATCTTATTCTTTGGCACTTAAATATAAGACACAGTGTACAACTGTCTTTCTAGGGTCAACGTGGTGAGACTGGTTCTTCAGGCCCAGCAGGTATCCGTGGTGCTGCAGGACCCCAAGGACCTTCGGGTGCACGCGGCGATGACGGCAGGAATGGAGCTGACGTGAGTATTGTCCCTTGCCCAATTTGCTCTCTCGAATGGATTTCACAAGTGACCAGCGGAAATCACTATTTCTTATTCTGGACAGTCAAGTGTCATTTCCTTTTTAGGCTTTGTAGCAAACCAGCTGTCATTGGGAAATGCTGACAGAACACTAGCAAAGTTGAACCTGGCATGGACAAACAGACTCGGCATTCAAATGTGAGCAGCATTTACCCCAAGTTGGTTTGAGTCATCATTTCAGTTTGTTGTTTTGTTCTAAAGGGAGCTCCTGGCCCTGCTGGACCACCAGGCCCTGCTGGTGTAATCGGACAAATTGTAAGTATCCAGCACAGATGCCTTCATAAGCTCTATTATTTTTTTTTTGTGTGTGAACATTTTCATGATGTATAAAATCCAGAGGCAAAGTTTAGAGGGCGGTTTAGCACAAATAATTTCAAGCAGTGGAAATATTTGTTTGCTTTTCAAAAACAGTTCACTGTTTTTTTTTTTTTATTTTATCATAGCTCAAAAGTTCCAGGAAATTTGGAGGCTAAATAAGATCAATTGTTTGCATGGAAATGCACTGTTGTTTTATTGTTCATTGCATATCTGTTTTGCTAGTGCAAGTGCATGTGATAAATCAATCAAACAGACACAATCACTGGTTTCATTTCTTAATCTTGACAATGTTTGTTTCATGAATAGTAATCTCTTGTTCCCCTGTCCCTTCCCCTAGGGTGGCATGGGAGCAATGGGAGCCCCAGGACCAACTGGCCCTGCTGGACGCCCTGTAAGTACTGCTTACACTTTTCAAATTGATGCGTATGTACGTTGTTGCACGTTTTTTTTCAAACTTTAACCACTTCCTGCGGGGGACTCCGGGATCGGAGACGTATGGTTTATACGGGTGGCCGGGGTCTCCGAACTCGGACAAAGAAAACGGGCCCTGTAACAAAAGACCGTACTCCGAACAAAAGACCAGGCTGCTGGGCATTACCGACATTTTTCACCCTCAAAAGTGGTGATAATCCAGCCTTGTTTTGAAACCATATACCAGGGTTTGGGGCATTGAGAGCGAGCAGATTAGCACCAGGGACAAAAGCGCTCCACCACCGCAGCGATGAGCCACACAGCACCGCTGCACGCTAATCTGGCCCCTATTGAAAAGAGGTCAGCAGTGCACTGAGCCAAGTTCGTGAACAAAAGACAGTTATACAACACCGCACAATCTGGGCTCTGTTTACGAGGCTGCTGGCCTGGCTGAAATACTTGGGAGTCGATGAAGGTCACCTGTCAACTTAGAGTAGTGCCTAAAGATTACTTGGTGCAGTTATAAACGACCGTTAAATGAAATGATGAATTTTTGAAGGATTTTGAAAACGGAAAAAAGGATAGTTGTGCCGGCCCAGCATCATCAACATTGGAAAATACCCCGGCATGAAGTGGTTAACAAGGGTGTGTGTCATTTGAATATTTTGGTTTTCTAGTTTGGAATCCAGTGTATTTTAGATTGTTCTTGATGTGCTTTATGTGGGATTGAACTTGAAAGAAAGTGGTTTATGCAGCTGTGACAACACACGAATCAGATGCTGAGTTTTGATATTCCAGTGGCAGAGTGGTCCTGCATTCGTTCTTTTGTTCTATTCCTTCTTAATTCATAGCCAGCTTCAGTAGTCTATCAGTCCGCACTGCGCAGTTTGTGTGTTGTCCGCTAACTGGTACATACCACAGGAGTTTGTGGCTGTAACTTCACTGAAATAAATCTCATTCTTTGGATCTAGTCAAATTGTAAACACGCAGCTTGGAAGTGATGCAGGTTATGATCTTGACTGGTGTCCATGATTGATGACTGTGCTTTTTTTTGGTCTTAACCAGGGTGCTGATGGAGCCCCAGGTAAACGTGGCTCTCCAGGATCAGACGGTGCTCCTGGATCCTCAGGAGTCCAGGGTCTCAAGGGACCACGCGGACCCACCGGATCTGACGTGAGTTTATCCTTGATGGTCACTTTTTTGGTTTCCTGATACACAACCAGGAGGTAGATATATCCAGACTCAACTAAAGGTCATTCCATAAAACTTAGACATGGCTGTAACTTTTCGGCACATTTGTTGTAAGTGGGCAACCCTGAGTAGCTGGATTTTGTTGATGTTAGTTAAGACTTATGCAGTTATCTTAAAATGTTTCAGAGCACTTTGAAGTTACCAGTGTATCCAACTGTCACCAAACATTCCCTAACTACATAGAACAACACTGATGTTGTTCATGTACTAAAAGCAGGAAGTTTTACATAAACATAATTGTAAAATTTCATTGAGCTGTTGCATAGTGGAAATACATCCCCGTAAATTTGTTCTATGCAAAAATCACTTAAGAGCCAGTCACAAGCAAGTTGGAATGTTTATCTGTGTTGTAATGGGCTAATCATTTTATCCCTGAATAATTGTTTGTGCTATAATAATGCGAACAGATGAGAATAAGGCAAACAATGAATTTGCATTGATAAGAAGCCCAGAAGGAAATTATCGCTCAACATTTTTTGATCGTTTAAACCTACTGATGATTGCTTCCCTAAGGGCAGAGACGGTTCCGATGGAGCAACGGGTGCCAAGGGAGGAAAAGGACCTCAAGGTGACAAGGGACCTCAAGGACCCCAGGGACCTGCTGGAAGTGCCGGAATGCCTGTAAGAGTTACTTGGACATTGCGCCGCTTGCTGACACAGAAATGTTACTTTTTGTAATTTTTTAAGTATGTTTAAGTATTTTAGTATGTTTAAGCACTTTCGGTGTAATTTATAGTGAAGTCAGAAAAGCCGATCAGCTGCCGGTACTGAGGAAACCTGAGAATTTTGGCACTGTCTCCAATGGACAGTACTGGGAGAACACAACATGAATATTTTCTGCAAATTTCTTATCCGCTGTCGCTAGAAGCATCCCCGGGCCTCTCTGCCAAAGAAGAGAAAAGTTTAAGAGAAGTTTCATGACATGTGCTGGGTACACATTGAGACTGTATATTCCAACAGAAATTGGCCGTGCATGCTCAGTGCGTCCGCCTGCCAAATGTGCCTGAGCCTGAAAGCTTACGTGGTGAGTTCCCATCAAAGGGGGTCCTTGCTGTGTAAAATTACACCATCCCTTATCCCTGCGTGGAGCAGATTTATTTCTGTCTTTGTTCTACTGCAAGCCTCGAAAGTAACAAAGGTGCAGCAACAGGTGGGGGCACCGCATTGCCCAATCCACTCAGTGGAATTTGACATGGAGGAAATGCATTTATTGACATTCCTCTTGCCAGGGCCGACAAGGACCAAGTGGCGGTCCAGGTGAGCGTGGAGCTCGTGGACCCGCTGGACCCGCTGGATCAAGAGGCAGCCAGGGACCTGACGGTGACATGGGACCGGCAGTGAGTCTCATTTTCAATTTCAATTCTACCTCGTTTTTGATCGCTTAATTATTTTGACGACAGTGGGATCAGGTGCTTTTGTACGGAGGTATAACGTGTTCACTAATTCTTTCTATTCATCTATGTGTTGGGGAGAATAAAAGATTTGAACTGAACTGAGGTCTGGGAAACATGGCCTCTAACAAACTTCCACCAAGACCCTTCTCAGCAAACAATTTGAAAATAGCTGGGCTCCCTCAAACCAACTTTGTCTAGTTCTGCATCTACCTGGACAATGCTGGGTCTGATGACCATGCCTGGCTATTTTCAACTGTTCCTCATTAGCCAGGTCTCCCCAAGTTCTTATTTTGTTTGGCATTTTGCTCCAACTTTGTTCCGATTCTTATCGTGGTCACAGGGGCCAGCTGGAGCAGCTGGAGCCAGGGGAGAGACTGGCGCCACAGGAGTCCAGGTAAGCTTGATATGATCTGCTTTATGCATTAAAACATTGCCAACGGTAAGCTGTGTAATACCTCGCTTAATTGGAGGCATAAGTGTTGAAAAAGACTACAGGAGATATGCTGTTGAAAATGTAGCATGTGAAAAGGGTGATGTCGATAGTTGCCTTACATATTTTGGGATGATTTTTCTTCTCCAGGCATGCCGCATTTCCTCGAGTCAGCTAATTTCTTCATTTTCACTTTACATTTGTTCCACTGAAAATTGTAAAACATTGCACAACGTCTTGTACAGATTGGAATTTCCTTATTTTTTTGGTCAAAGACGAAGTTGCATGCCTGTTACTTGTTTCATTTTCTGACTCATTTTATTCCATTTTCATCTGTAGGGACATAAGGGATGGGGTGGACCTCCAGGCAGACCAGGTGCCGCTGGGCCTAAAGTGAGTCGAGAACCTTCAGAATGCCAGCATTCGGCTTTGTTGATCTCATTATCACTTGCTTTGTCACACTGGTATTTTTATACTTCAAGAAAAGGTATTTTTATACTTGAAGAAAAGTTCTTACATCATAGAGCAGCTCGTGTAGATACAGAGTAATTTGGGCGAAGGTTGCAAAGGCGATGCCACGTCATTGTGATCATGTGATCATGACCAGGCAATCTGTTTCATATGGAGACAACTGATCCATGCACACCTAGACTCACTTGTGGCTGATATTTTGTACGTACTAATCCTCCTTTTGTTCTGCACACTCACACAAAGTTTAGAAAAGTTTGTGGATGCAGACTTTGCCTCTGTACACAGCCTGTTATGGTAGCAAATATATGACCTGCTCTGCAAACAGGTGTATTAAGGCGTAATGGCCTATTTTATGTGCCGAGGGTGAAAATATTTGGAAATATTTTGAGGCCTTGACCAGAAAGCCTCTGTTGCTAAGGAAAACCAAGAGAGTGTCTAATTTAAGTTTAATGGTTCAGTTCATTATGTTTAAAGGGCATTATTTCAAAAAGCATGCGTGATAAAGTGAAATTACATGAATATGCAACTAGAAATAACTCCAAAAGGCAAAATGCCACTGGGATGAATTATATATCAAATGAAAGCTTAGGATATGAGCAATTTGATTATATGTATAACTCAAATCCAAAATATGTGACATAATACACCTTTTTTGCTGATGAGCTGGTTACATATTGTTCTGTGGGCGTGCCCTGGAGTACTGAGAAATACAAGGTTGCTGTAAAAAATCTATAAAAAATATTGTTCAAATGACCCTAACAAGTCGGTAGTTGTGGTTTTAGGCTGTATATCAAAAGTTGGCTGGTATCCCTTTTCAAAGGTCGAAATTTTGGGCCAAAATAATGCCATCGGTAAAGTGGTTCAGCTCACTGCCTTATTGTCTCTGTGAATCCCTGAGATGCTGTCTTCATTTCTGGATTATTTCTCTCGTTTTTTTCCCCCTCTCTTTGCAAGGGCTCCACTGGTGCCCGTGGTGAGAATGGACGACCTGGCCCAGCTGGACCTTCAGTGAGTAACTTGTCTCTCGTCTATTCAGAGCACTCCGTTATCATTACTGTGATCGTCCGGGAGCCTGGTTGGCTTGTTTCACTATGATTTCACTGATGATACCTGCGTTTCTTCTTTCAGGGTATTGATGGTGCTCGCGGCAGGAACGGTAAGGACGGTGTGCAAGGTCCCCGCGGTATGACTGGGCCAGGGGTAAGTGTTGCAGTAACGTAATCTCCACCAGTCTAAGAGACTGGTTGGAATCTACCTGCAGAGTGGGAGCAAGGATGTCCGTTGCCTTCCCTGTCCCGGTGGTGGTTTTTGTTTGTTTTAATTCATATTTCTTTTTAACTGCTTACGTACTAACACATCTGTGCATGAAATTCAAGTACAGTGTGGAATACTTTGGTGGTACTAAAATAATGATATTTTCAATGAACTCAAACTTTGAGAGAATTTTGTTTACATTAACATATTCGAAGAAAAAAATAAACAGTCATTAATCTGATCTGATCATCAATGTTATTCAGCCTTGAAAATTACTATTAATTTGATTCTAATGACAACTGCCACACAAGGGAAACAGTTCTGCATTTCAAAAAGTATTTTAAAGAATTCAGTTTGCCCCAAGATCTGAATCAACCACTGTCTAACTGCTCTAAAATGGTTGAGGCTGAATTTAAATCTGAAACGCTGTTGTCGGCTACTGTCAGTCTTGTAATGGCAGCTATGCCTGACTGGAGCAAAACAAAAACTACTCAAAAATTTAGAGGCTACATAAAAGGAAAAAAGAAAAGAGCTCGTGAGATAGCAACATGCAAACATCAAGAAAAATAGTTTCATTTTATGTTTAACCCTTCGTTGAAATCATAATGTCAATCTGCTTTTCTAGGGCCAACGTGGTCCCTCTGGAAGGTCTGGACCAGCAGGACCCCCAGGACCCCCAGGACCTGCCGGAGCACCAGTGAGTCAAGCCTTCCTTCCTGATGCTGTTTCACTACCTATAAGCTTTGCTACCTTAACCACTTGCTGAGGGTGTAAATTGAAGTTGCATGACGTAAAACTGGGGGATTTTCAAGATTTTCCATTTTTAAAATTCTTTAAAAAATCATAACTTAATTTACTCCCACACAAATGACTGTCTGGTGGCTACTCTAATCTGACAGACAACATCTATTGACGCCTGAGTATTTCAGGCAGGCCTGCTGCCTTGTAAAAAGAGCCCAGATTGTGCGGTATTATGTATTTTTTTTTTGTTCCCGAAACCGGCATAGTGCACTGCTGGCGTCTTTTCAATAGGGGCCAGATTAGCGTGCAGCTATATTGTATCGTTCATCGTTGGGGGGCTGGAGTGCTTTTGTCCCTGGTGGTAATCCACTCGTGCTGAATGCCACAAACAATGATATAATCATTCAAAACAATGACAGATTTCCTCCGCTATTGACAACTGAAAAAATGTTGGCGATTCCCAGCAACTTGGTCTTTCGTTCCAAGTACGGTCTTTTGTTACAAGGCCCAGCTCTTTTGTCCGATTTCAGGCAGCCTGGCTTTGCGAATAAGCCCAAGGTACCCAAAACAGGGTTCCCCAGCAGTGTATGGTTAGTTTCTTACAGTCACAAAGTGGTAGGGCATAGCTGAGAGTGGTTCTGGGAGGTAACTACATATATTGGAGGGTTTGAACTTACCTTTGGTTTTGAACCAACACTTGTTCTGCTCATGGGCTCTGTGGATATAGCATCCCTTATGGGTAACAAGAAGAGAGGCATGGCGGACTTTGGAATGCTATTGCTTTTAAAACATGAACTCGGTACCCATGCAAAGACCCTTTGGGTTTGATTGCACTCAGATCATGTGCGCTGTGTGGCGCTATGCACCATATGCAGGTGAGCATGTATGTAGGATGTCCGCCTAATTATCACGATGTCATTACTTTGTAACAAAGCCCCCTCTTTTCCATGGACACATAAACCCCTGCTGGCCTATTTGCTTAACTGTCATCAATGGTCAAAGTTGAAGTTTCTTGCAATTTTTATGTGAAAGTGGCACATATTGGTATAAACTGTATTATTTCTTGGGAAAAAGCCAAACACAATTCTTTTTTCTTGCCACACAGGGAGCTCTCAGCTACTCAGGGGTAAGTAAACGTGGGCAATTTACTGCACATCAGAATTTACTTTTGTCTCAACAAAAATGTCAAGGTCATCCTTATATGTAAAACTGCAGAAATTATCAGTTGGCCTACATTCCCTGGAATAGTTTTCAAACTAAATGTGCAGGAAATGACAGAAATCACGGGGGATATTGAGTTTTTTTATTTTTTATTTCAAATTATTCTTAAAATTCTCAATGAATTTTTGTTTCTGTTCGCAAAATACTTCTCAGAAAGCAAAATTGGGTCAACCGTCATCCCCTGGCATTCCAAACAAACTACCATTGTTTAATCACTTGTGGAAGTTCCTTCTCACAACTTCACTGTCAACTTTCTCACTGTGTGGATTTTGTTTCATCGTTTGACCTGCAGTATGCCTATTCTGGCACGTATGCCACTGCCCAGGTCGACAAGGGACCCAACCCATACGCTACTGTAAGTTGCAAGACCTGTTGCAAAGTCCCTCTCGGGAACATGAATTAACTTGGTGTATGATGGTGCTTAAATGCGCTGTATGTCCCTTAGATGCTGAAATTCATGTTTAATAAGTTCCCAATTTTTAATACCATATAATATTTAATACCAATCTAACAGACCAAAAAATTTTTCAAGCAAGTTTAATATTATAAAAGAATTTCACAACTTTGTGGAAAGGCAAAAAGGATTTTTGTTGATATACGCAGTGGGCCCGCTGTGACGCCTGGTCTACTGGGCTCTAATTAGTTGGAAAGAATACTATCTCAAAGAAATAGAAAGAAATAGAATAGAAATATGTAGGAAATATGTAGGAAATATGTAGGAAAATTCTGCAAGTCACTTTTCTATTGAATTGTAAAGGATGTGCTCTACAAGCACAAATTGAATTCATCTGTTTGAAGTCAGGCGAGAAAATTTGATTGAGGAATTTTCAAGGCCAGCAATTTCTGCCATTCAGTAATGTAATTTCTTGTCTTGCCAGTACTATGGAGATGATGCCACCATTGACGAGGATGACTACGAGGCCCGCATCATCCAGCTGAGAAATCGCATTGAGAGGCTGTTGCTACCCAACGGTGAGCCAGAGTATCCAGCCCGCTCCTGCAAGGATCTCTTCAGGTGCCACCCCATACTTCCAAGTGGTGAGTGCTGGTTCAAGAAATAATCCTTCCCTGCTTGAAGAGTTTAGAACTTCTCCTTTAAAATTGCTATGGGCGAATATACCAGTCTCAATTGTAAACTGCCAGATTCTTGTGGGATTACATTAGAAAATGAAGCTTATACATCATCGTGGGTTTATACTTAATACTTTTCTCCCCTGACATCAAGAACAAAACTTCAGGACAGAAAAAAAAAAATGGACACACTACGAAACACCATGTGTTCAGAAATGTCTAGTAACAGTGTACCAAAAGTTGTGGATCCCAAGACAAGGATTTAGGGCTGGATTGAATATTCCGCAGGCAATAGACAAGATTGTTTTATAAGCCAAAGTACCGGTGTTGTGTAGGCCCTACCGGTAAAGTCAGCCCTAGGTACATGACTGTCATAGCTCATGCACTGCTTTAGTTCATGAAAAGGAAGGGAAAATTTTCTTTAGTTTTAAATGAGAAAAATTGCACTTTGGAGGCCTGTATCGAGCAGATTCAAATGAAAAGCGTTTAAACAATTCTAAAAGGAATAGAAATTTTGTACAGGGCAAGAAGTCTTGTTCATCTCTTAAATCTTGCTAAATCGTGGCTGGAGATACTCCTAGATGTGAGAAGCTATTAGATTGATCATAATGTAATATTGTGTTATTGCAACAGATTTTGTATGTGGTTTGTTCATCTACAATCTACCGGTCGGTACGACTGAATATTCGGCTATTCAATCAAATTGAAGGACAAATATTTGAATAGTGAATTATTCCAATTGACTCGGCCCTAAAAAAAATCGGAGATGCTGAAACTTTTCTTGTGTGTGTGTGTTGTAGGCCCCCAATCTTGTCATTAGCCTGAGGCACAGTGCTTGCAGTGCCTGCTGCATAGATGGCCAGCATATTTAAGAAATGCAAAACTCTATTCTGTATTGACTATAAGGCTACTACACCCTGGATCCCAGCAGAGGCTCCGACTATGATAAGTTTGTGGCCTACTGCGACAAGAAGACCAATGGCACCTGTATCTTCCCTGATGAGACGAAGGTAACTTATCTCGTATCAACCACTTCATGCCGGGGCATTTTTCAATGTTGATGATGCTGGGCCGGCATGACTATCATTTTTACCATTTTCAAAATCTTTCAAAAATTCATTTTATTTAACGGTTGTTTATAGCTGCACGAAGTAATCTTTAGGCACTACTCTAAGTTGACAGGTGACCTTCATCGACTCCCAAGTATTTCAGCCAGGCCAGCAGCCTTGTAAACAGAGCCCGGATTGTGCGGTGTTGTATAATTGTCTTTTGTTCACGAACCTGGCTCAG